TATTTTGCTTAATGTAATGGAATAATTGACGAATACCGAGCTATTATAATATGATATTTCTCTATACCAGGTTCAAAATTAGAATGAAACTTAATTTTGACTAAGTACATACGTTTCGATTCCGTTTGTATTGGTCTAGTTGCTTAAATACTTTTAATCAAAACATTTACACATAACTTTTAATCAAAACATTTATAAACACTTTAACTAACAGGCCGCGGATTGCAGAGATTGTATTCTACAATAAACCGAAGAAGCTCTCCGCACAAACTCGGATGGTAAAAGGTTTTCATAGTATACGTGTGGTACTAATATTTTATTAGAATTGTGCAAGTATTTGTGAAAAATAATAAATATTGGAATGTAATGACAAAATTTGTTATAAACTTATAAAATAAAAAATGAAATAGTAATATCAACTTTTCAGGCTTCATTTGGAGCAGAAAACGCCAGAAGGAATAGGGTAAATATACCTTTTAATTGTTTTTTACTGTGGCCCAACGCGCAACGGTTTCCGTTGTTATATAAAAATATAGCTTTGGTATTTTGTGTCCACTAAACTCAAAAACCGAGGTTGTTTCGAGTCAATGGTTTCTTTTTACATTTGTTTTGTTCACAATATAGCTATTGAATTAAATCGGTAATTTGGGAAAATTACCTACAGGGAAGAAATAGCTGTAAACATTTACTCATAAGAAAATAGATTTGCTAACTATCTAGCTGTCTGTCTGTTTGTCGCGTTTTCACGACAAAATGGCTGGATCGATTTCAATAAAATCGGGTAATATAGCTGTAAACATTTACCCATAAGAAGATAGTTTTGCTAACTATCTAGCTGTCTGTTTGTCGCGTTTTCACGACAAAATGGCTGGATCGATTACAATAAAATCAGGTGTAAATGTAAATATAGCTGGAAATGTGACACACGACATAAGCTATCCTTCATCATCAACATCATCACCATTTTTCATCCGTGGATTAAACTGCGGGTACAGCTAGTAGAAAATAAAACTCCAAATAATTGCAAAAATCCACAATCTTCACAAATAATAATAAACAGTCAGTACTTACATTTGAATTTGATTTTTGACGAAGAATTATGGAAGTTATGCCGTACAGACAGAAAAATACCTTTCAGAAACAACATAGATTTAGGCTATGTATTCCCACAACGGGGCATAGGCCGTATAGAGATAGTTTACCTATGAATTATAGTTATGTCATACTGCTGGACATTAGCCATGACTTTAAATTTAATTTACCTCCGTAGCTGCAAACACGTCGCACAATCTCACAGCTACCGTTGCATGCGTTCCAATGTGATGAAGAGGGCGGGACCCACGAAGAGCGAGTAAGTTAACAAACAATAATTATTAGAAAATTTTTCACATAATCACAAAAGAGAATCACACACAATCCAGCCTTTGGGAAATAAACTGGCAGGAAAATTAGAATTGATATATTAACAGAAATCCGCTTACTCGACAGAATATTCGATAGCGTTGGCTCGATTCCGACACGCAACAAGTAATTGCATTGATGACAGATAACTGATCCGGATATTTATTCCCAAGGACGTTTATTTAGTTGAGATGCGTTAAAATTGGTTATAATATATTCATTTATAAATATTTACATTAAAGTGTTATTACACAATTACAATATTTTACATTACCATTGATGATTCTTTGAGCTGAATTTCAAAGCTATGCAGAAACTAGCCGCCAGTTCTTTGGTTTTATATTGAAAATGTTTGAGTTTATAAACTCTGCATTTAATGGAATACGCGAGGAAGAAGTAACAATGTATCATTTGTTACTTCTTCCTCACGAAAAATTATTTACCAAAACCTTAGCCACGCAGCAGTCTTCGCCGTTGCACGAATGGGAAGGTCCGGAATACGCACCACTGCAGAACGGTGTGAAGTGGAATTGTTACACTTTTGCGTTTCGTCTGACGAGTGAGGTCACCGGGGCCCAATTTTTGGAAAGGTGGCAACCCTACGGGTGTTGCATATGTCAATGGGCGGCGGTAAGCTTAACGTCAGGTGAACCGCCAGCTCGCTTGTCGTATGACATAAAAATATTCGCGATAAGGCCGTCAACGGCTGTTGCACGAATGGGCAGGCTCGTCCGGGTAAGTACCACGACCTCACAGAAGACCGGCGTAAAGTGGAAGTATAATACTTTCGCGTTTCGACTGGTGAATGAGGGGGATACCGGAGCCCGATTTCCAAAATGTTTGTCAACATATCTGCATACTCTCGGCTGTAACAGATGTCCATGGGCGGCGGTATTCACTTAACATCAGGTGAACCGTCTGCTCGTTTGGCAACTTTTCACAAAAAAAAAACTGCAACGCTACAATTTGTAGATATCTATGGGCGGCGGTTAATTAAACCCACCACCATTAAAAAGTAACAGGGATGAATTTCAAAATTAAGTCGTAATCTTTCCTAAGGTTGGCCGTTATCCGAGCGAAAGTAAAAAGACTGATTGTTCCAACATTTGTTCGTGGCTCTAAAGTGGGTAAGTATATACATAATTAAAATGTAGCCATAGCCATAATAAGATGTAGCTAGCGCTAAAAGTAAGTATATAGAAATATAGGAAAAAATTATATCGAGTCGCTATGTTACGTAGCTAACTATAACATATTGTAAATGTGAATGATTTGTTTAGTTTAGGACATTGTTATCCGACCAAGCATCATGCCATATAATTATATCGACGATAAAGTAGATAATGAAATACTTAATACCTGTTACTTCTGTCCATCGGTCTAGTTAAAAATGTTGAACTGAATCTTCGATTTTTTTACTTTTCCTTTATAACGACACATTGGCAACGATGTTAACAGTAAGTTAAAAAAATAACTTAATTGCTTGTATATTTTACCGTACAAATCACAAAGTTCAAACACGTTTTAAAAACGCTTCTGGACCTATATAGATACATTGCGTGTCGAATTACGGCTAATTCAGCTAATCACTAAGTTTAACGCCACGTAATCTTTATATATATATAACTCTTTTGTATGTCTGTATGTCACTGCACTCCTCCTAAACGGCTGAACCGAATTTTTTTTGTGTCTTCAGGTAAATTCGAGAATTATATAGATTTACAATTTGGTCAACTGCAATGTTTTTTTAATTTTTTTGTATATAAGTTGTTGTCGGATTTAAGTCGTGTGTACAGAACAAAGTCTGTCTTTCGATCCGCTAGTTAGTATATAAGAATAGTATTGTATTTATATCAACCCTTGAAGTCGCAAGACTATTTACTATACTCCACGCTATTGAAACATCAATGTGATTGTAATGAACTTTTCGAAATTGGGGCATCGTGCCAAAGCGTCATGGTCGAAAATATTGTTTATTTATTTAAAATGTGTGTAAATGCAGGACATTTCTTTACGTGATAATGAATGCTCGGGAAAAAAACAAGCGATGAAATCTGTAAAACCTTTATATTTAACCATTAATAGTATTCCCGTAAATACAAGAACTCATTAAAATACTGTAGACGCAATAGAATAAATACCACGTAAGAAAACTTTTTGTAACAAAGATTAATGTTGTGTATTGATATTGTAAATTGTGTAAATATGCCATTTAACCTAGATTCTGTTTTACAGATGATAAAAACTGCCCATTTAAAAACTTCTGAGGACTTTGGAAACGCCAATATTACCTTGAAATGATTATACTTTGTTTATTATATATAAATTAAAATTAACGATTATTGGACCATTGTTTGTTTTATTTAAAATTAAGACAAGCAGGCATCTCAGGGGAAGTTTGATGGCAAGTCCCCCTTTGCTTAAGACAGTTTCAATTTCTAAATATTTTTTTTAATTTATTATTAAAACGACCTTTGCAAAAACTAAGAAAAAGAAATAACTTTTCAAACATCCGCTGAAGTTTCGATTGATTTCAAAGTTTCTGTAAAATAAAATATATGTCCTACTGCTGGACAAAGGCCTCCTCTGTACAGAGGGCATTAGAGCATATTCCACCGCGCGGATTGGATTTATAATATTACTTAAATTCTAGATCCACAAGTACATAAAACAATCTGCCACTGCATTAAAACATATCACATTATTTAAACTTAACTTCACTCCATATGTAATTTAATTATTTGATTAAATAAAAAAAAATAACTTTTCGTACTAGCCAAATGAATTATTCTAACAAAGAAATTCTATACTTGAAATAGTACTATGTTGATTATAAACATAGTAAGTACTGTGTAGATTATAAACTATGTTTAGATTTACAGGAAACCCAATTGATTTAAATCGATTTTTAATTTTAGTCGTCTCAAAAATTTTTACGCCTTTGCCACCGTAGGCCCGCTGCTGTACATATACTACCTATTATCGAATCTTGAGCAATATTATTGTCATATTGCCGTGATAGACACTTTTTTAATTAACCCAAAATTATTAATGGAAACAAAAGTTGCTACGGTTATATACTGTTAACTAATTTGGTGGGTTGTATATAGAAACATATGCTCGCTTTACCTGCTTTACTTATTAATAATTAATCTCATCTATTTAATACACAAGTTTAAATTGTTCATAGCGTATTTTAAATCGAGACAACAGTCATTTTCATCAATTATTACTACAACGCTACAAAAAGAAAGGAATCTGTCATTAGATTCCAAATACATTTAATTTAATACTAAGTACATACTTCGCTTACAAGCACCGTACCGTATACTACACCGTACTATTTTTATACCGTATACTTTGAAGTACTCCTTCATTTCACGGAGGTTTCAGGAGTTTAGATGACATTTCACTGGCTTAAGTTAGCTATAATATATTCAGCTGGGTACATCGCAATGATTTGGAGGACTTCAGGAGCTAATGATAGTGCGTAGTATACAAGAGTTCACTTAGCACATTAACTCAATTTAGCCACGGAGAAGTTTTCCTATAAATTTAAAAAGTCCCTTGTTAAGACAAAAATCTAAGGTTCGTCGTCAAAAGTTATCGGTTTCTTCATCTTCGTCCCATTTTGTGTCATCGACGTGTTTACGATACTTTGCAAAATAGCCCCTACGCCACAGCAAAACCACAATTAGTACCAGCGGGAAAGTTGCGAAGATGCCTGCGAAAATATGAAATAACTGTTAAACATGAAATTAGTTTCTGTCGACCTTAACGGCAATAATCACCAAAATAATATATGTGACTGGACTAGGTGGCGCCGTTGCCAAAGTATTGGCTTCGGCGTCGGGGGTCGTGGGTTCGATTCCCACACGGGACGAGTATTTGTGTAACCCACAGATAACTTTTCCGGATCTGAGTGTTTGTTTCCCAAGGAGGGTTGACGTCAGGCAGGCGGCCCGTAGTAAAAAATATAGTCAAAATCGTTTACAACATCTACACATAAGCGCAACAGGATGATGATATAAATTAAACATGTACTACAACGAGGTTTGATGTAAGTACCTACACACGCATATATAACATATACACATAAACTACGTCATTATTTTTCAACTTATAACGATTAACAACGCTAGGCCCTATCGAAAACCTGAATATAAGGTTGACGTACAAATAAAAAATTATGGTATATGATGCTATACGCACAAAACGTGAATTGATAGAATTTTTTAACACGCCCGTCTAACATGGTGTACAGTATAACATACCTATTACGATGCCGAACAGCAAGTACAAATTCGGTCCGGCCGCATTAAACAGGCCAGCGGCGTATTCGCACTCTAGCGTCGTCTTGTCTTTATACAACTCGACGAAAGTCGTTCCGATTAAAGACAGCGGCTTTCGACAGCTGAAAATGGCAGGAAAGACGGCATTTAGACGAAATACAGTCATCATAAATAAGAGCCGTGAAAGCTCAGTGTCCGGGCGCTCGCCTTTAATTCAATATACTCGAGCAACCTGAGTTCGATCCCGGTGCCGGCACCAATGAAGTTTTTAACTTTAAGTGCTGACTCATCTCGTGCTCCGCGGTGAAGGAAAACCTGCATATTTTCGAAATAATAACAAAAAAATATATATTTCGAAAATATGTGAAGTCCGCCAATCCGCAGTGGGGACGCGTGGTGGACTATGCCCTGATACCCTGTGGATAGAGGAGGCCTTTGCCCAGCAGTGGGACATGTGTAGGCTGTTACTTTTACAGTCATCACCCTATTTTGTTATACATCACAGATCGTTTTCATCGGACTCAGAGCACAGGCAGTCTTTCTTAGATTTCTATTAATGCTTCAGTTTTATTTATAACCACGCAACAGTCTTCTATGTTGCACGATTGCAGGTCCGTTCGGGGAAGTACCACGACCTTATAGAAGACGGCCGTAAAGTGGAAATGTTTTTGCTTTTGGATGCTTTTGCGTTTCGTATGGTGAGTGCTACACGAGCCGTGATAGCTCAGTGTCCGGGCGCTCGCCATTAATTCAATATACTCGAGCAACCTGAGTTAGATCCCCGGTGCCGGCACCAATGAAGTTTTTAACTTTAAGTGCTGACTTATCACATGCTCCGCGGTGAAGGAAACATCGTGAGGAAACCTGCATATTTTCGAAATGATAACAAAAAAAATATTTCGAAGATATGTGAAGTCCGCCAATCCGCAGTGGGGCCGCGTGGTGGACTATGCCCTGATACCCTCTGTATAGAGGAGGCCTTTGCCCAGCAGTGGGATATGTTTAGGCTGTTACTTTACTTTTTTTTTATGGTGAGTGAGGTTGCCGAGACTCACTTTATTAACAGGTGGCATTTGAAACCCTACGGGTGTTGCAAATGTCACCGTGAAGCAGGTGAACCAGCTCGCTTGCCAAATTCTCACGCAAAAACAAGTTATTGCTTAAACATAGACCCAATAATCTCTGGAAATGTTAGCTTTTGGTTGCCCATTATCTAATGCACGGATATAGCTTACCAATTAAATCAGTTTTAGTATGTATATGGTTTGTTTGGGAGTCTGGTGCTTAATTATCAAATATATTGATGTTTTTATTGCCATAAAGACATTCTCGTTATTTTATAAATTTTACATTTCTTAGGTAGATTAAAGATTGACTTCTGTAACAGATTTGAAGAAGATTGTTCAGGATGAGAGTTTTTATAGTCTGTTAAATGGTTTATTAACACTTATATATATATATTGTTATGGTAAATGGTATAGAATGGTATAAAGAATACGCGGTACAAAAAATGGTATATGGTATTTGTTGGACGGTGGCGAGGCGCGGACTGCCTTAAATTAGGCATGAAACGTACATAATTATGTACGCGAGTGTAATTTGCCTATGATGCACTAAGTCGCTGTTCGGTTGCGTAACTCCGAACATACTCCCGACTACTTAAAGTACCATCAGAAGCTCAATGTATGCGGCCATATGAACTTTCTGGAATCAAAGATACTGTGTCAAATACTTACACCATTTTGCTAGCTTTCCGCTTTCCTGCTAGGCTAATGACCAGCGGCGTAAGGAAGTCCACCATCCACTGGTTATTGCAGTCGCAAATGTAAGGGTTGTTACTAAAGTCCACCCTTGTTACATGGTCCCATCCTTCTAGAATTTTCGAGCTGATCTCCGTTATGTTGTTGCTATGTATATAAAGCTAAAATTTTAAACTTAATTGATTCATTTTGAAATACAACTCCTCGGCTGGGCAAAGGCCTCGACTGTACGGAGAGCAAGGTCCGCTACGGGTCCCATATACTACGATTTGCAGTTAACCTCGAAAATACCGTAACGATTTCTTGTATTTACGCGATTACACATTATAAATGAAACTAATTTTACGGATTTACTACTACTTACGGCGACTTGCTTTGGAAGGAGGAATTTTACATACAGATAGATGGTGTAGCAATGGGCTGCCCAGTATCTCCCATTGTCGCTGACATATTTATGGAAGACTTTGAGGAGAAGGCCCTTCGCACAGCTCCCATTTATCCAAGGTTTTACAAGAGGTATGTAGATGACACCTTCACCATTTTACCAACAAGTAAAGTTAATGCATTTCTAAACCACCTTAACTCAGTAAATTCCAAAATACAATTCACTATGGAATTAGAGCATAATAACTCTTTAGCTTTCTTAGATGTTTTGGTCATCCGCAATCCAAATAACACTGTAAGTCACACTGTGTATAGGAAGGCAACCCATACAAATAGATACCTAAACGGTGATTCTCACCACCATCCATCCCAGTTAGCTACCGTGGGTAAATCTTTGTTTCAGAGAGCACAAGGGATCTGTGACAAACAACACCTGGCCGCTGAGCTTCAACATGTCAAGCAAGTTCTGCATGACAACAAGCTTCGAGCACCGCGCCTACGTCACAGTGACCGAGTGAAACCAGCCACAGTGGAGCGAGTACCTGCTGTTCTACCATACGTCAGAGGAGTCACCGACAAGATTGGCTATATCTTAAAGCAGGCTTCAATTAATACATTCTACAAGCCGCTGAAGAAGATTAGTCAGTTTTTTTTACCATCTGTCAAGTGTAATATCCCTCTGCAAGATCCAGGAGTGTACAAACTTGACTGTGAATGTGGGCTCTCTTACATAGGTCAAACGAAAAGAGCAATAAAAACCCGCGTGAAAGAACATATAGCTGACATCAAACACAATAGATTGAACAAGTCTGCAGTTTGTGAGCACATTTTGAATAGACCCAACCACTACATCAGGTTTGACAAACCACAGATCCTTGCAAAAGAACACCGATTCCTCCCAAGGATGATTCGCGAGGCTATTGAAATTAAAAAACACCCTAATTTCAATAGAGAAGAAGGTTGGGTACTACCATCAGCTTGGGATCCTGTCATCAATAAAATTAAATCTAGGCCCAAACGAACCACTACTGCAAGACAAGATACAATTAGCTCCCTCTGCATAGATCGGACACAAAATTAATAATTCAAAAACTGACGGTAGCCCGGGTTAACTATGACAATCAGACGTCTAACACCTCAGTCTGTCCCGTGACCATGAACGCTGTAAAGGGTTCGAAACGTCGGGAATTAAAATTAAAAATAAACGCGATAAATCCGTAAAATTATTTTCATTTATAATACCGTAACGATTTTTCTCTAAAGCCGCTGAACCAAACTAACTAGAAGAGGAAGCTAGGTTAAATCTCCTTGTACAGCCAACTACTTCAGGATCACTTTCGGTTCCGTAACGTCACCGTATGGAGCCGACTCTAACCTAACAAACGCTGCTGGCACCTTAAGTTAACCTTTAAGGTATAAACTTCTATTATACAGAAGCTAACCATGAGCATGAACTATAAAGACATGTGCATGTATATATGAAAGCATTTTTCTATATTGCCAAAACTTATCCCAACTCCGGTGTGACAAACGCAGTGTATTCCCAAAGTGGTAAGTATTCCGGGCCCGCTAGGAGGCGATAGCAAACAACACCAAATACTTCGTTCTCGCCTATAAGCACGGCGAAACCAATACAACGTGTACACAAGGTACACTCGGCTGCAGATTGTCGCCACCGCCAACGATTAATAGTATCAACAGCCATCGGGTTCACGGTCCATACCGAACCACGGACGCTTCTAATCCTCAAATCGTCCCCTATTAGATAAAATGAGCTCATATGCGTCCTACATAGCTGTATCAGGAGGAGGGATCTGGCTATCTCCCGAGATCTACATGCTTTGACATTGTAATAGTATGTATGGCGGACTATAAGCATAACATTATACATCATCATTATCATTTCAGCCTGTTTGAGTCCACTGCTGAACATAGGCCTCCCCCATAGATTGCCATGAAGTACGATCCTGAGCCACCTGCATCCATCGACTTCCCGCACATTTGCACAGGTCGTCACTCCATCTAGTGGGGGTCGTACTACACCGCGATGGCTAGTACGAGGCTGCCCCTCGAGAACCTTTCTTCCCCAACGGTTATCGGTTCTACCAGCTATATGGCCGGCCCATCGCCACTTCAGTTTGCTAATCCTCTGTGCTACGGTTACCTTGGTTCTACTGCGGATGTCTTCGTTACGAACATTATACATACTGAGAAGTTAACACCACAACCCAAACTATTACCTCTTTCACTAAAGGCCACCGCTTATTGATAAGCTCATCTTCCCACACGAGGAATGACGCGTCGATTTTGCTCAGCTTCAAATTATTGCTTATGTGGAGGACGGAAAGGTCCTCTAAACCCCCGAGAGCACCGGATTCGATCGATTTCAATTCGGGATTATAGCATAAATGCAGTTCGACCAACTTTTTCAAACTGGAGATTGGTCTGCGCATAAAAATTTCGGGATTTAGGAAGATCTGCACAATATAAATGTAACCTCTACAAGCGCCTTTGCATCTCGTTAAAAAAATAAAATCTCGCAAGTTGAAATATAGTAACATTAAAATAGTTTTATAAATTTTTAGCTAGATATCTTTACTTATAAAAAACCTATCTGCGTACATCTAAAGATTATATTTTACATCTTATATCTAAGACTAAGACGTTACTTCGCAGGAGTGTTTGTCCCTTACGTAGTTTTGTCCAGAAATTCTAGAAGATTGTTGTCGAAGTTTAAGTACATCAGATTCACCGCCTCTTTTAAAACAGCTGGCACTGTTGTGAACCGATTTCCACTAACATCCAGTCTTTCCAGCCTAGGCAGTCTTCTAAACATGCCCTCAGGTATGGCTTCCAGGTCACAGTTGCTTAGTTTCAGCTCCTGGAAACAAATAACTATCGCAAATGTTTTATGAATGTATATTTAATTAAATTATAAAAATCCGCCGTAATTATCGACTTTTTAAAACGAATACTTTTATTTTTAAATAGTTGGTGATTAGATTTTATTATAAAAAGCTTGTATATTTCTACGTGCCTACATTGTTGGAATTCATCGGCAATAAAATATTAAAGCTAGATTTATGAGTTGACACCGTACTGTTGCTTTCGGTCATACATGGATAAAACGGTGTGGGATCTAGATGTTTAGCCATGCGAAATTTGTGTAATCAAAACTTCTTTACAACATATTATTCTACAAGATAACATTACCATAACCATTATAGACATGGTGTTTACTAAAGGCTTTTATTGAAGTTATACAATGTCCACGTCTCTGCTCTGTGGCTTTACCATGGCCTACTCCTCATGTTAATCACCAGACCAGATAGCAACACGACAAATTAATTGTGCGTTGCGTGACGTTTCACAAATATGAAAATTATGTACACGAATACATTCGGAATCGGAAGAACTCTGTACGAATCATACAACATTTATAAAACGCCTCTACATCTCAGTATCTTATCCTACAGTAGCAATAATATTTTTTTATAATCTTATCTAAATGTACTCTGCAACATAACCACTGTAATGCATTCTGTTTTGAATTGAAGACAGCACACCTTCAAATATATTAAATCGGAAATGGCACCCATAGTGACTTGGTCGATGATGGTCAGCGGGTTCCCACTAAGGTCTAAATGCGTTAGCGCTGTCATAAAGGCGAACAGATCCTGAGGCAGAGAGTGGATGCTGTTGTACGCCAGACTTAAATAACGCATCTTAAGGAACTGCTGAGGTCTTTGTTGAGGCACCATAACACCCTAGAAATAAAATACAAATGGTTGAACAATATCAATACTGCTGCAATAATGACAGTCAAATAAAGAGTCATCTTAAGACCTACTTACTATAAGTAATCAATTAATTGCATAAAATGTGATCATTATAATATAAATGTATTAAATCTAAAGTGCGCTGCATCCCTCTACTCCACCATGAACTTCTGTCACGAAAACCGACACTAGAATTCACCATCAGAAATTCACCACAACGTGGAATCTATCACTCGGTTACTTATACCAAAGAAGGCCTGACATAAGTTTCACGTCACGACGTTACTTTCTACGGTGTTTTAGATATGTTTTGAGATCAACATTAAATAATTACTTTAACTGAATTACTTACCGCAAAAACCTTTCGGCTTAAGGAAAACGTGGAGAGCCTATTGTAACTAAAGTCTAAAGAGGACAAATCTTTGAGATGAACGAAACAAACATCGTCTATCACTTCTATGTGACACTGAGAGAAGTTCAATTTCCTTATTGGGAGCTCCGATATTTCTGATACTGCTATTAGTGGGTTCCTACTCAAGTCTACATCTATTGGTTTCGATATTTTGAGACCTGAAATAGAATGATTGACACCGCTTGAAATCCTTTAAAACTTATAGTCAAATAGCAGTACTTAAAGTGTTACTTGAGCAGATCATTATTTAGGCCGTTTATATTAAGCTTTGAAAGTATCACCTATAATTACAGCTACAAAGTATTAATATAACTATAGCTTCATATTCCTATTCTTTCTCCTGCCCTTATAACAACTATGTGATGTCGGCACGACATGTGAATTGTGTTACTAACGGTATTGACCATTTTTTTGATCAGCCGCCTGCTTGACATCACGACCCACCGCCGCGGAACTAAAAGCAACTGCGCCACCGAGCTAGCTTTTAACTAGATGTGCTCATATCTATCCCCGTCCCGACTTCAACGGAAATGTTAATTGATATTTTAAGTGCTGATTTACCACGTTTTCTTGTTCATCGTTAATCAATGTTTAAATATGTTAAAAAAAATATATGTTCACCTTTCCAATCCGACAGATCAAAGGGCCGTCGAATATCTCTCTCAGTGCAGTCAATTGTAAACTTAACGCAATTGCACAATCCGCAAATAGTGTCTGGATATGAAAAAGAACCTTCAGTGGATGTCGACACAACTTCTTGTTTCGTACTGTTTACCTCAATAGCTGAAAGAACCAAACAGCAATATAATTAAAGTTATGATGGTCAGTTTTATACCCACTGGTTCTTCTTATATTCCACTAAAATGACGAGTGAAATTATCATCTATAAGCCAAGCCTGCACTGTTGAATGTAATTTCTTTTGAGCATACAATTAAAGAATTTACAATCAATAAATTTTGAATTTAATTTGGGAAGTAGAAAATCATTTTTAAAAATTTGAGATATTTTTAAAAAATGATTTGATGGAACATAAAAATATATGACAAAATTTTCAAACCAAAAATTTAGGGATTAAAATTTTCTATAAAGTTGTTCCGAATAACTTTTGACGTATTTGCAATAACCATTTTAAACTTATAGCTTTTAATTATTTAATATCGCAGCTTGTCTAGTACAATTCGTCATTCTCATTGTCATGCAAGTGAATTTAATTACATATTTTTATTTTCAATTATATATTTGTCATATATAACTTTTACGGTGGTAGGGCCACGCAGCAGCCTCGGCTGTTGCACGAATGGGTAGGCTCAACAGAGTAAGTACCACGACCTCACAGAAATAAAAAAAAAAAATATATGACAAGAATATAATCATTGCTTAATGTAACCTTGGATATGTATACTTGTCTAATAAATTATTGAACATTTCGTAACCGTCATTTTCTTTATTTTAGGCCACATGTACCTTCGATTCTATTTTAATTTTTGCAAGATCTTTCTTCGAACAAAATACCTACCTGTTATTGTAGAGTTTACAGTTTTAATTCCATTTTGAGACCGACTGCTGTTACTTTTAACTGAATAGAGTTCTGCAACATCTGCAATTGTAATACTAAGTTTTAATTAACATTAATTTGTCTTTTCCACATTTAAATCTCGTCCCCAATATACGAATTTAATTCGAACTGACATAAATTGAAAACGCAATATTACTGTTTCATAAAATTAGCACGTTCTTAGAGTTTTCTTGTTTAAATTTTGGGGGCGAGTGGTGTTTAAGCTACCGACCCCAATAAAGAATGGCCAAGAAAACCATTAGTGCACACATTCAAATCTGAATACGCTTGGATTTCAAAAACAAATGCATCATTATCATCAAGTAAATACAACGAAAACTGCACAAATACATTAGAACACGGCGGAATGGAAACAACTGGAAATCTTTCAGATAAGTCTAGTAAAATAACATTAAAAACAAGAATTGTAAGTTACATTTTTAAAGGGAAGATTCTCAAGTCGCTTTCAGTATCTAGAATATTAAAGGACTAGTGTGTCAAATGACTAAGAACAATTTATTATCGTCTGCTGCTGCTGGGTGACTTTTAAACCACTTATTAGCTTATTTTTATTAAAAGGGTTTATATTACAAGTACAACTTATAAAGTTGTGATTGACACAATCGAAATTTCCTAGTAACATTTCAATTACTTAAAATAGTACAAAATCACGTAGGTAAAGCAGGGTGTAATTAATTTATTAATCGTTTAACTGAATGATAGGCATAAATAATTGAATGAACATAACTGTATAAAAGAATTAAGTGAAGAGTAGGCCCCCACTACAAAACCTCCGGTTGCAGCTAACTTTATACTAACAAAAAAATAACATTTTTTATGTGAAAAGTTACAAACGAGTAGACGGTTCACCTGATACTAAGTGAATACCGCCGCTCATGGACATCTTTCATGTACAACCTTTTGAAAACTGGGCTGCGGCCACTTCACTCACCAGACGAAACGCGAACATATATTTGAGCGCAGACTCGGAGATTCTCGTTGGTAGATTTTTATTATTAAAATGTGCTTAAAGAATTAGTACATTAAAATACCTGTGTAATTTTTATTTGCACTAATTCCTCCCAGGACACTAACACATAAAAGCATTTCCAAACGCATTTTTACACAAACACTCACAATCGACAACTGCGGAAATATTGAGGCAACCAAATCTTGCGCAGCCAACTTAGATAACAGTCGTCATTTTTATATCATAGATTAATTTCTCGCCTAAAGGGGACTTTAATTCAAACCGCCGAAATTTTGTGCCTATTTTGGGTGGCGTAAGAGATGTCTCTAGGAGAAAAAAAGACAAAGTATTTTTTTCATAATTAATATACGTAAATCCTTAACCTACTAGTTGGATAAACTGAAGAAAGGAATAAACCCATGAAAGCAACTTATTAGGCTTATTTAAGAAATTCAAAGTAGGTAGGTCTTCTTTCTCCAGCGTTAACCTCTTTCACTGACGTCCAACTGTAGATGAAAATATACACCCAGGACCGGATCAATAATCTTCAGTTCCCAAAAATAGGTACTTGTCGTCGAATTGTGTGAATTTAACCCACGTTCAAAGCGCCAAAGCAAATAGTTTAATAGTAATAATTAATAATCGTTGTCACCTCTTATCACATTTCCCATAACGTTATTATTATTGTATGGGTACGTCGTGTAATGGTGTAATTTTTATGTTTTAAAAGGCAATTATGTTTTATACAATGATATCTTATACTAGTATAAAATATGCCTAATTGTTAAAAGGTCATTTAACGTCCAAGTGAAATCTGTTAAAAATGTATTCCTTTATTATTTCATATATATATTCAAATATTAATATAGAGAAATAATAATAGAGGTATTTAGTACCAAAAATATTTAATGAGATTTTTTCTGAAAATGATTGTATAAGCAAGAATATCTTCAAAAGAAAGTTAAAGGCCTTTTATATAGATTATTATAATAGTAGCATTACTTAGATTGTTCCAGGTTTTCTTTTTCTTTTATTTTATTTTTTCTTGTATTGCTTAGTTATTATTTTATTTTGTTATTTAAGTGACAATTATGTAAGAGTGCATTGTGTCGCCGATAAATTGTTTATACAATTTGGCGAATAAAATTTTTTATGTTGTATTGTTCACTTAATAAATAAATAAATTAAAAAAAATATGTGTGCATAGTTATCCAGTCACTTACTGAAGCACAAATAATCTATATCAAATATGCTTATCGAAAGATAAGCACCGAATATTAAATTCACCTCGATTTGAATTTTGAACTGTTCATTCTAGAGTAACGTTGTATAACGTAGATCTCGTGCTAAAAGTTGAAATAAAAACCGTTAAATCCGCGTCTAGACAGGAACATTTGTAATTGGATTAAACAAAATTAGAAATAAAAATGTTAGCTTTCTTTCACTTTAGTGGCAACGGCCAAATACAAACAATGTAACTTTGGATACCTCATAACGGGCAAGAATTTTTTTTTACATCAATTCGTGTAACAACATTAACTCAGTCTGTCCATGAACGCTGGGAAGGGTTCGAAACTTCAAGAATTATAAAATAAAAATGAAAACGCGGTAAAATCTGTAAACTAGTTAATAAGCAATTTTTATAAATTTAAAATAAAAAAAATACATTTCTTACCACAACTTGACTGTAGCCTACAATTAGGATACAGGAACTTCTGTGAGTGTGCGTGCAGACGAGATTTAAATTACAGTTGTGCAGTTGCCTCATAAAGCATGTATTTTTTATTTTTTCCCGAAAAATATGTGTTATTTTTTATCGACTTAGCTAACACTTTTTTTATGCGAAAAGTTGTCAAACGAGCAGACGGTTTACCTGATGTTATGTGAATACCGCCGCCCATGGACATCTGCCACACCCGAGGGTTACAGATGCGTTGACAACCTTTTGAAAATTGGGCTCCGGCTACTCAAGGGCGGATCCAGCTTTGGGGCCAGGGGGGGGTCACGTAGTCGTGGTCAAGTTATAAGAAAGAAATTATAACAATTTAATTTTTATAATCATAGATATAAGTAAAAAATAATTAATAAAGGTTTTAAAAATTTCGAAAGGAGGATAAATTCGGATTTTTAAATTTTTTTTAATAAAAATATTGCATTTTCTCGCGATTTACACATGTATAAAAATTTCAGCTCAACCGGTAACCGGGAAGTAGATCAAATTTAATTTGCAAGATTTGATTTGATGATTTAACATTAAAATATTGTAAAAATGTTCATAAAATGAAAACTACTCGGCCAAACTATGGTAAATTTTTATGGGACCAAATGACAACTATTCTGCATCAAACTAAAGAAGAATCACGTAAATCGGATCATAAATCTCAATGTAATCGGTGTACAGACATCGAAAAAAAATATACCAATAGAATTGAGAAACTCCTCCTTTTGAAGTCGGTTAAAATATTATATTAATTTAATTAAATATTGAAGGTACTAACATAAAATCTATATTGTGGTCCACCTAGGCCCTGGACTCAACCCAGGGGGGGGTCATAACCCCCATGACCCCCCCCCCCCCCCCCCCCCCCTGGATCCGCCCTTGCGGCTACCTCACTCACCAGACGAAACGCGAAAGTATTACTTCCACTTTACGCTGGTCTTCTGTGAGGTCGTGGTACTTACCCGGACGGGCCTGCCCATTCGTGCAACAGCCGAGGCTGCTGCGTGGCCCTACCACCGTAAAACGTTTATAAATTATGCGAACTTTCTAGATACTTGCAAAGAATTCAAAAATACCTTATTACACATTATGCAGTTAAGGCATTTCAAACTAAATTAAAACATAATGGCATGGATAGGCTATGATGCTTACAATAATGAATGAGAATAATTTTATCCCTGAGACATATGAATACCATACGAGTGAAATTAAATGAATCGTGCAGCGTTATTTAAAAATGTGTAGATAAAATTGTAGCAATTTTTTTTAAACTCTAACTAAAAATCTCAATGTCTTCTTCTTAGCTACTTTATTTCTCATTGCGTTTTTGGCGTTGTCTAATATCCTTCCTTTACAGCAAGTACACAAAATATATTAATAACATTTTACAATGAATATTTGAAAAAAAATAAATTATGGCCTTTTCCATTGAAATTTCATTTTCAATTTTTGTGCTTGGTTAACTTATCTATACTATAAAAAATAACAATAGATGCGCCAAGCATTGCTTCAAATGCCAAATAACAATGTAGAAAGAAGGCGTTAAGATTTTCGTCGCTGTGGCCATCAGCCGTTTAGCTCAGTGGCTAGAGCGTCAGGCCGCGAATGCCGAAGACGTGGGTTCGATTCCCACAACGGCGACAATTTTTTCGCACTTTTTCTACATATTTTAATGTTCAATCTTAAGTGCAGAGATTAGCACTATAAAAAAACTTTAAAATTAATAAATTGCTTGAAAAATCGCACACAAGCTCTAGCCATCTGAGCTAAAATAAAGCGTCGACCTGAACAACTATTGCAGGTTCACGATGTTAATCGATTGTTTTAGGGACCAAACGATTTTTCAGAAAATCCGGAAATCATTCGAAATATCTATTGGTAATAACGAAAAGTTTACTATGGAACTTTAAAATTAACCTACATACTCATAGCACAATTGTCAAAATTGAATCACCAAAAAGTTTGTGCACCATGTATGGAAAAAAGGCTCACCACGTTACTTTTGAAATTAAAATAACTTTGACAATTACTATGCAATCAAATGCATTTAGAATTGCCACAAAACATCAATAACTCTTACTCCCATGAAATGTGTAAAAAGGCCTCTGTGCAGAGGGTATTAGGGCATAGCGCACCACGGCCCCACTGCGGATTGGCGGACTTCACATATCTTCGAAAAATATTTTTTTTGTTATTATTTCGAAAATATTCAGGTTTCTTCACCATGTTTTTCTTCACCGCAGAGCATGTGATAAGTCAGCACTTAAAGTTAAAAACTTCATTGGTGCCAGCACACAGTATATTGAAATAAAGGCAAGCGCACAGACACTGAGCTATCACGGCTCTTGAAATGTGTGACAACATACAAAACAAATTTATTTATTAAGAACATGTGTTGAAAACTGAACTGTACAAACAAATTAGGTACATTTATTACAATATTAGGCAAAACTGTAAAAATTTGAAAATTGTAGCCATACACACAAATAAGATTATATGAAAATGTGATAGATTGATTTCCTATATTTTCCTCTAAGTGGCAATATTGTCAGTGGTATGGGAAATATAATTTTAAGGTAAAAAAAACTATCAATTAAAATTTTTCCATTGTAGAACAGAATTAAAAGTATGAAAATTTTAATATATAAAACATGTTTCATCTTTCCTAACTAAAATGTGTACATGGTTAGTGGTTATTAAACACTTGTTATTTTAAAACTGTTTAACATTATTTATTTTAAAATAATGGCTTACTTTACAGAATATTTTAAGACAAATTGAATGAGCTTCTCTTTATATACTTTATAATATATTACTCTGTTGTCGATAACAGCACCGTATCTGGGACTTGCGAAATTGTGTTTTCGGTAAGACAAATATGGTAAAAGAAACATATCAGGCTATATTACTTTAAAGACTGTTACAGGAATTGCGGGCTAATTTTATATTTAGTTTGGGATTGCTAATATTTCATGGAGTAACAGCCAACGTTTCAAAGGAGAAATTAACAATACACTGAGTATATCATTCCAGTTTAATATCGAAGACGTTCTTACACTTAGATATATTTACAAATATTTTAGTCCAACTTTTTCACTTAATGTAAGGTTATGTTACATTGACTATCTTGTTGATACTGTTGCTTCTTTCCTTGCGGCATCTTGGAGTAATTGAGTGTCAACTTCATCTGCCGGTAACTGGACATAACGAACAACAGAACCACGAATGAAACAATTCTTCACTGATAACATGTGAGGGTATTTGTCAGGATCTATAACGCTTATATCTGACAATTTTATATTTAAATATTGGTCAACAGAATGTAATGTCCCACAAATGCTAAGATCATTTTTCAATTCTACCACAACATCTTTACCCACTAATGATTTAAAGAAGGAGTAAAATAACATTTTAGTTTACTTTTCCTTCAGAATTACAAAAATACTAAATGAAAACAGCAAAACAATCGCAATTGGTCGTCAGCGGACGCCGCATCGAATCTTACTACAGATACAGAATTTACAGAATGCAGATAAAAAATCTTTTTTTTTTAAAAACTACATTCGACTTAACATAATTTAATCTATTCTGTTAATATAAATTAAAAATAATAATGAATTGAAATCCAAAATTTTATATTTTAATACCACGTTAACATTCATTAATCACAAAATTTGTTATACTTAACTTATGATATTATATACTGATTACTGCCGGGATTATTGGTAGAAGAAGAAGATTAAATAGTGTTTAAATAAGCTTTAAATATATAAAAACTAAATATTAAAAAAATCGTATTTAACATAGAAAACCAATTTTAATTAAGGATTTATTTTATATGACAAATCGTTACACCGTGAAAAAATGTAGTGAAAATTATAGTTGAGTTAATATTTTTAATGGACGTTAAAATATTATATAATATTTATAACTTCATTAAAAACCTTTTGCTTAATTATAAGTATCCAGGACCCACGTATTTAATATATTTCTTTATGGTTTAAGATGCTCTGAACTGTCTAAACTGTATTGATAGGCTTGCCAAATTATAGCTTTTAACTAAATTTAAGGCGGAAATATGTATATTGGGATTTTTTTGCGTCCAACCAAAAAAGGACCATTTTAGGGGCATGAATAATACTTCATTCAACACTATTTTGACTGACCAAATTGAATTTAAAAAGAAAAATGTCTATTTTTGACTGTAATTAATGTAATGTTAGTTAATATTCTTTTAATTATTTCAAATATTTGTAACGAACAGTAATTAAAACTAAATTATTTTTCTTTACCTTAACAAAACTTGACACTCATTTAAACAATATCTTTGTTTGTTGCAATACAGGGTTTTTATTTGAGCTTTTGAAAATTGCATTAAGGGTTACCATAAAGGCTTTTTGTTTTGATTTTAGTGGCATTTTTTTTAGTAGTTGGTAACACTGTGTGAGTATGTAATTGGTTATTGTGTCAAGTGTGTGTGTTAATTTTTAATTATTCATTTAAATTTTCATTTCAGCTAGCGGTGTCTAACTCTAATTTTATGTATTACATTATGTTTTCGTTGTTCTAGTAATCAATAATTATATTTACTGAGCTTCACAAACTTAGCTAAACGAAAAACAAACTAAATAGTTAACACAATAGTTAAATTAGATGTTTAGCTAAACGTGTATTTAACTAATTTCACGATGACGGCTGTTGTCCCAGAGGAGAACCCGGAAATAGTATGTAGATTTAATTTAATATATCGCTACGGATTTAGCCTAAAAATTAACTGAACTTATCTTTCTTTCAGGATTGGGGAAATGAAAGATTAACACGAGCCCAAAAAGCTGTCGAAGCCAACATCTACGATGTAGATTCTTGGTCATTACTTATTAGAGAAGCCCAGACTAGATCTATTAACGATGTAAGGACTATGTACGAGAAACTTATAACTGCATTTCCAACGACTGGTCGGTATTGGAAAATATATATCGAACAAGAGGTTAGAACTTTTTTAATGCTCAAGAACATATCTAATGATCGTGTTTATTACTAAAAAAGCGTGTTATTTATCATTTATTGATAAGAACTTTTCATTATTAATATTCAGAGGTATTTAATTTAATAAAAATTGCTAATGATTAGACAATATAATTTCAATCTAATACTAAGCAAGCAAATTGTTGGAAAAAAATATCATTATGTAGGTTAAAAACACTGGTTGGACCACACAGCTAGTTCTGCTGCTGCATATCTGGGCTGTCATTCCTCAAGAAGTGCTACAGGCACAGAAAAGACTGGCCTGGCATATTTGACATTGACAACGCACTCACAATACCTATTGAGTCCTATTGTATCATGATGGTAATCACTAACAATCCCTCTTTATAAAACAAAAAAATACTCGCCACTTCAAAATAAGTGAAGAACACTGCACTCTTTTAATAATAAAAACATGTGATACTTATGCTTTTGAATGCCATAAATCCTTAAAGTTTATATTCAAAAGTTATTTCTCACATATTAATTTTGTAGGACATGTTGTTATAAATTAGATGATACCTATATAAAGAAGCGGAATTTATATATGTCTATAACTACATTTAAACATATTTATTTATTATTTACAGATGAAGGCGAGAAATTTTGAAAAAGTTGAAAAGGTTAGTATGGATACATAATAAGTTGTTTAAAACACTTCTTAATTTTCTGTGATATTAAATAAAGACTGGATAAAAAAAATTATTATTCTATTATGGACAAAAGATTAAGTCTATTTCGAAATACTATGTACATTAGTATATTTAAGTTCAAATAAAGAAACCAGATTAAAAAATGGCCATTTTTTTTCGGTTAGGGTGTCTGTGTTCAGACATGTTGGAGGTGATATTCTATGGCAGAAATGTAAATTAAAGTTAAACACTGTAACATGCACATTCATTAGAAATTGAAAGCATGAATATTTTGGAAAATAATTGTTTATTTTGATAGTAATATTTTTAGCCACAGAAGGTCACTTTTGACATGTATTATCCCTTTTAGTTAATATGATAACCTTGAATTTAAATATTAGGTATTTAATTAATTCCTTTATAACTTAAACTTTGCATCTAACCTACAATTAGGAAGCTAAATTTGTGTATGCTGGTGTATACACTGATTTTTGAAATTAGTGATTTAACAATTCATATCACAGTTGTTGTTTGTTTTTCGTATTTTATTTTAACATTTAATATAGTAAAATATTCAGGTTATTTATTTTTCTTATTAAAGATACAGATAGAGGTTACATGATTCAAATTATAACATACTTTAAAACAACCTATATAACTGTTAGTGAGCCTAGTTGACAAAATTTACGAAGTCCTAATCCATATGTTTAATATGGAAACTATATTGACTGGAATGAAACAAATTTATTTTAGAGATATGACATTTTTTTCATGTGTTATTGCAGAGGACAGGGCAAGCACTAGATGACGCATTGTCAGATTTTCTCAGCTTTTATTTCTATTACAAGTATAGATGTCTAATTTGATGTATATGATTGTTTACAGCTATATGTTTTTTAATTATGATGTGTGCTTACTAACTAGTTGTTTATTGATGTTTAAAATCAAAAAGAATGTAAGTTAATAGCTATTAATATTAAATGAAATAACACAAACCCTTTGTGATTAATGCCCATTTTTACCATTGCACTTTCAACGCTGCCTTACTAAGGTTTTCCTGAAGTCAGGGATTCCCTACATTAGAATTAGAATTTAATCTTTAAAATAAGGACTCCACTGACTTTAAGTGGCGCTTAAGCGGTGGTGCAAACGAAACTAGCACCTAAAATTTTTTAGGGTTCCCTTAAAGTGAGGGAATGATGGTGAAAATAGGCATAAGTGTCATATATCTTTTCACATATAACATGACAAATAATTATTTGTTTGGAGTCTTTCATATAATAAAGATTATTATAATTCACAGTATACGTGTCGTTGCCACCGCAACAATAAATGAACACACATATAGAGGATAACTTTTTAAAATTGTATTAAATTACATTCTTTAAACATCAATATTAACCCAGTTATTAAATTTTCCAAAACAAACAATTTTAGAACACCCTTACGTATAAAACTGTAACGTAAAGTTCATTTGTAAAGGTCACAAAGCATATGAATGGGTTGAATGAATTTAAAAGAGACAAAACATACTGTTAGAAGGAGAAGCTTGTAATGCGACGCTGTGGTGCGAGTTGTATAGGATGATACAAATTTTGTTTCTTTTTTACTTCATTAGTTTGTTTGAAAAATATTTTTTTTTAATTATGGATTTTGTTTAACGTTAATATTTTTTTATGATTATTGGCAAGTAGCGTTAGACGTATGTTCATTTATTGTCGCGATGGTAACGACACGCTGTATACATGATAGGAATGTATTGTATGATATTTGTACTTTGCATTCTGGTGTGTTGGTTATTATGATATTATTATGTTGCTTTTTGGAACATCAATGATTGATTAATATATTAACAAGGTTCAAAGTTTATTATGACAATTCACTTATTGGATAAAAATCCTCTTTGATTTGTAAACAGAAAAAATAGATTTCAGGTGGATGTTGTATTTTTTTTTAACATTAATTCATGTTTGTTTATTGTATGTGCCTGGTAATATAAGGATTAAAGTTCCGATAAAACTAGTGTAATCACGATCAAAACAAAAAATTAAAATACTCTTCCTTGCCAGTATAATGTTGAAACTGGAAATTCCTACAAATAACTAATAGATAGTACTTCTGCTAAATAGATACTACGGCTGTCTTTAATTGCAATATAATCTAAAGTATCTTGGTTTTGCATAATGTTTCGGATATATAGAATATCCGTAAACGTACCTATAAACGAAAGAATTGCAGAGGTAGTAATTTTTAAGCAAAGGACGAACCGTCTTAAGGTTACTATCGTTATAAGATTCTATGAAATTGGTCCCTTAAACCGGATATCTTGGGTTTCAACTTCTCGACACTCCTCTGACACTATTTTGCATGGATGTTTAGCTGTTTCAGCGCTGTCTAATGAAGATCCTGAACATAGAGCTGTGGCGACTTTACCTCAACTACGTCAAGGAAACTAAATGCATGCTGCCCACATACAAGTATGTACATTGTATATATAGATGTTATTTTACTAAGATTATAGCATTGATCTCCGCTGATACACGTTTTCCTACTATTCATTGATGTTTAAAATAATGCCATCCTTTATAATGGAAATCTTAGGGAGAAAATGGCGCAGGCGTATGACTTCGCGCTGGACAAAATAGGTTTGGACATCCACGCTTATCCGATATGGAATGACTATGTAACGTTCTTGAAGGCTGTCGACGCTGTAGGCTCTTATGCCGAGAACCAGAAAATATCTGCAGTCAGAAAGGTATGCTTCATGATTTATTATTGTTATTGTTTTTATCTTTTTTAATTTTTACTGACAATACGTAAGGAGTATTAACCAGTCTGTTGGGTCAGAACATATAAGGAATTTCAAAGCAGGTTATTTCTGAGTACAATGAGGTTCGCTTAAATAATTGTAATTCTTTATTTGTACAATTCCGTGATTGGCAGTAAATATTCATAAAGCTTTTAAATCCTCTTTTCCATTAAAGTTATAACAATGTTAAGCACTTTATTTAATAAATAAAGTGCTATAAAGTTATAACAATATAAGCTAGACACTACAGAAGGTCCTACTAATAGCCCAAATTCTAAGTACCGAGCTTAGTAGATGACAGTGAACTAAACTTTTATCTGAGAAGCTGGCAAGCGAGCTAGCTGATGTTAAGTGATAACGGCCGCCCATGGACATTTGCAACACCCTCATAGTTGCAGATGCGTTGAAACCTTAGAATAAAGTGGTCCGCGGCTACATCACTCACCAGATGAAACGCAGAAGTATGACACACATCACGCTAGTCTTCTGTGAGGTTGTGGTACTTACCCGGATGAACCAGCCCGTTCGTGCCGAAGCTATTGCGTGGCTCTAACACAATAAAACAAAACTAGGTATTTCTTATATCGAATATTACCAGTGCAATCAGAATACAGCAAAGATGTCTATTAGTGAGGGTAATGAAACCACAACCTTACTTGCCGTATGTAAAGAACATTCTAGACCTAAACTTCCATTAAATGTCTGATGTGTTCTTTGTCAGGTATACCAGAGAGCAGTTATCACCCCAATAATAGGCATAGAAACACTATGGAAGGACTACATTGCTTTCGAACAAGGAATCAATACAATTATTGGTAGGTCAATAAAAATACATAAAATAAAAATCCGAGATAGCTATGTCTAAGCGCTCGCTTGTAAATTCAATATAGTTGAGTAACCTCGATTCAAATCTCGATGCCGGCACCAAGGAAAATGTTATTTAAATTATTTATTGCTGAGTTACGACATGTTCAGCGGCGAAGGAAAACATCGTACGGAAACCTGCATGACATCGAAATGATAACAAAAAAACCTTCGAAGATACCTATGTGAAGTCCGCCAATCCGCGGTTTAGACCTTTTGCCTGCTGTGGGACATATCTGGTTCTTACGCCCGGTTTCTGAAACACTAATCATCGTAGAAGTTAACTAATTAGCTATGAATGATCTAAATGCATCATTCTGATCGTTAAGGAGCTCATTCTTATCAACAATCAGAGAGTTTATCAATCCTTTTGGCAACTCAAATAACATTTGAAAAGCCAATTGACAGCTGATTAGTTGACTTCTAAGATGATCAAGCCCGGTTTCTGAAACGCTGATCATCGTAGATGTCAACTAATCAGCTGTCAAATGGCTGTTCAAATTTAATTTTATTTGCCAAAAGCATGGTTAACTCTCTGAATTGCCCAGAATGATTTTCTTAATGATTCGAATGATCAATTCAAAGACTAACCATCCTTTTGGCAACTCAAATGATATTTGAAAAGCCATTTGACAGCTGATTAGTTAACATCTACGATGATCAGTGTTTCAGAACGGGCGTTAAATCATCTTTACAAAAACAACAATCAATTTTATTTTCTTTGATACGTTTCTACATATTACCTTTGTACCAGCCGAGCGAATGGCGATGGAGAGATCCCGGGAATACATGAACGCGCGGAGGGTCGCCAAGGAATTGGAAACGGTCACCCGTGGCCTCAACAGGAACATGCCAGCCACACCGCCCACCGTCGACCGGGAAGAGATGAAACAGGTATTTACCACTAACTGTTACATGAAAGATACGTCAGGTACTGTGGTGTGATGTTTTTGACCGTTCAAGGATTTATGGATATATACGGAAATCACTACATAGTATAAAAAAAGGCAACGGATCTTGATGCGGTTTTTTTACTAGATAAAGTGATTCAAGAGGAAGGTTTTATATGTAATTATACATTGTACCCGTGCAAAGCCGGGGTGACAGACGACTGTTAAAACGACTTTTAAATGACAGACACAAGACTGTTGCGTGGCCCTACCATTTGGACTAGATGACGTTATTGTTGAGATAGTGACAAAGCGACGTTGGTACAGAATGACAGTCTTTATTCTAGTATGTTAGTACATTGTGAAACAGCTGGCATTTATATACCTACCCACAATGAACGAAGTACAGACTAATTGAAATGTATTGAGTATCACGATGCATGAAGTATAGACTACATGGAATGTATTGAATATTTGCGTAATATTTCAACAGTTAAATATTTTCTGGACACATTTGTTACACAACGTTCTCTAGTTCCAAACTAAAAAACGCTTGTATAGTACAAGGGCACTAGAAAACTGATAAAAATACATAAACATACTTTTCTTTTGTAAATAAATACATATTATACATATATAAACACCCAGACGCTGGAAAAACATGATGTTCATCACACGATATTTTTCCAGCAGTGGGGATCGAACCCACACCCTATGCCGCAAGAGGCAGGGTCACCCCAGTGCAATCGGGTCACAAAACATTTGTAAACAACATGGAATACATTTAAAGTAAGATTGTGACCGCTAACCGCATCCCGTTTTCAGGTGGAGCTGTGGAAGAAGTACATATCGTGGGAGCGGAGCAACCCGCTGCGCTCCGAGGACACGGCGCTGGTGGCGAGGCGGGTGATGTTCGCCATCGAGCAGTGCCTGCTCTGCCTCGCCCACCACCCGGACGTGTGGCACCAGGCGGCCCAGTTCCTCGACCACTCCTCGAAGCTGCTGCAGGAGAAGGGGGTGAGAATCGATGACGGGCAGTTTTGTAGTGTTCCATATACAAAATTTGTGCCTACTCATAATATAATACGAGAATCGAAGTTAGACAGCCATTTATGTAGCATTTGATATTCACAAACTGACTCTTTGAAACTTATAGGGTATTTAGGCTACTTAAAATCTATTAATTTAACAAGAAGCAAAATGTACTTACTATATATTGAAAAATCAAAAAGCTGATTTAGTTTCACGGCAGTTTTCGAAAATTGAATACAGAGTATTCAAGTGTTGCTAGCATTACGTTCACTTTTCGGACATGCTATATACTCGTATATTGCATATTGTACCATATAATATCTTGATTTTTTAGGGTTCCGTACCCAAAGGGTAAAACGGGACCCTATTACTAAGACTGCTCTCTGTCTGTACATCTGTCACCAGGCTGTATCTCATGAATCGTGGTAGCTAGACAGTTGAAATTTTACAGATGAAATATTTCGGTTGCCGCTATAAAAAAAAATATTTAAGCGGGACTCCCATACAACGGACATTTTTTTATGGTACGGAACCCTTCGTGCGCGAGTCCGACTCGCACTTGGCCGGTTCTATCAATTTGATTATCTAAATATTTCTTATCAAAATACGATTCGCCATCTAAACTTCCTTCCATTTGTTAGGATTCGAACGCGGCGCGCCTTTTCTCCGACGAGGCGGCGGCGGTGTACGAGAGGGCCACCAGCGGCCCCCTCAAGCAGTCTACACTTCTGCACTTCGCGCATGCAGATTACGAGGAGAGCAGACTGCACTATAACAAGGTTTGAAGCATATGTTATAACATAAAAATAAACTGATAGAAAAGTGCTAAAAATGCAGCCCTGAAGTTTGTTCAAGTAATGGCGCAGTCCTGTCTGTCTAGATATACAAGGGGTTACTCGCATGGTGCTTGCCAGAGTATTGTCCTTTGTTTCACGCCGCAGTCGAAATCGCTTCCTTTGTTGTTCCTCCTACTACATGGTGGTGGTGGTTGTCAAGTAAGTCGCCGAATGTATTATGCAAAGGTTTTTCCATTGTTAGCAGCTCGGACTAATCTCTTTGTCTGTTGCAGCCATTGAATTATTTTCAAACGTGTTGTTTCCATTCGGCTGTAGGTTCACCAGGTGTACACGCGCTACCTGGACGTGGAGGACATTGACCCCACACTGGCCTACGTCCAGTATATGAAGTTCGCTCGACGCGCCGAGGGCATCAAAACCGCCAGAACTGTGTTCAAACGCGCTAGGGAGGATCCCAGGTGTGTGTTTCCTTTCGGCAGACATTGTATAAATGCTTAATCCGCTAACCAGCGCTATTGCAGGGTCTACTTCGTTTCATATGTTCAATTTTTTAATTATGATATACATATTTATTTATTGATAAGAACCACCAACGGAATAACATGTTGTTTTGTAATTAAATCTAACAATATTCTTGGGAACTAAGATTTACATGTTGCCATTTAAAGATATTTACAGCATGTTTAAAAAGACAGTAAGTGTACGATAACTTAATAATTGTTACAAGTATGAGTTAAATACTAATATAAAACAAAAAAAAACAATATGACATGTATTTAATTTATTATAAATATCGACTTAACTGCTGGGCAGGGGCTTTTTCTGTACAGAGGGTATTAGGGCAAAGTCCACCACGCCATTGCGGATTGGCGGACATCACATATCTTTGAAATATTTTTTCCTAACTGTCCGCAAGACTAATAATACATTAAAATTTGAGAAAATAATTTTATATCGCATATACTTTCTATAATTGGGTAAATGTGGTTGGTGATCACCAGAACTTACGATTTTCAAAAAAATCTCAACAAGGATTCCTTTTATTGACACGAATATGAAACATAGTTAAATAAAATTACTTAAGGGATTTTTTTTTTATTTAGAACTGGCCAGCACTTGACTGCCATATATGCCTTATGACGTTTATATTCTGTAAATAGGAGTTAAATGCGATAAAATCCCTACAAGCTTTATTAACTAGATACTTGCTTTATTTAATATTATGCATCGTTTCTGTTCACAGGTCTCGTTACCACGTGTTCGTTGCCGCGGCTCTGATGGAGTATTACTGTTCAAAGGACAAGAATATTGCGTTCCGCATTTTCGAGCTCGGCCTAAAGAAGTTCTCGCACATACCTGAATATGTGCTCTGCTACATTGACTACTTATCTCATCTGAATGGTGTGTTTTTTATCTCATTTTATCTTCTTCCAATCTTTTGCATTTATTATTTTAAAAATGAACACTCATTACTTAATGAAAGACTTTACTCACATGACTTACTACTTACCTTTTTCATTTTTTCTTTATCCTTGCCATGCTCCACTTGCCCACTATCTGGATGTGGGCTATTGTCCCGAGGAGAGGAGAGGATGGCTCTTAATATTAGATTCTTATACAGCGTGTCGTTACAATCGCGACAATAAATGAACACACGTCTAACGCTACTTGCCAATAATCATAAAAAAATATTAACGTTAAAAAAATCCATGTATAAAAAAAATATTTTTCAAAAAAACTAATTAAGTAAAAAAGGAACAAAATTTGTAACATCCTATATAACTACAACTGACTAAATCATACATTCAGAGACTTTTTCATTTGTTGCCACGGCGTCGCATTACAAGCCTCTCCTTCTGTTTTGTCTCTTTTAAATTCATTCAACCCATTCATATGCTTTGTGACCTTTACAAATAAACTTTACGTTACATTTTTATACGTAAGGGTATTCTAAAATTCTTTGTTTTGGAAAATTTAATAACTCTGTAAATATTGATGTTTAAAGAATGTAAATTTTTGATACAATTTTAAAAAGTTATCCTCTATATGTGTGGTTATTTATTGTCGAGTTGGTAACGACACGCTGTATATTTGTCCCGAGGAGAGGAGAGGATGGCTCTTAGTAGTATATTTTGTATATTTTTTCCCGTACAGAGGACAACAACACTCGTGTGTTGTTCGAGCGAGTACTCTCTTCAGGGAGTCTCAAGCCGGAGAGCTCTGTGGATATATGGAATCGGTTCCTCGAGTTTGAATCCAACATTGGGGACTTGGTCAGTATAGTGAAGGTGGAGAAGCGTCGCCAGGCGGTGCTTGAGAAGGTGCGTGGCTTTGATTTTATTTTGAATATTTACCTATACATACATAAACATTAGCGGCTGTCTCATTAAGTGTGGAGATATTATGGTTTTGCATTCTTCCCGGTCCTTGCATGTTTCTCTTGCCCCATCAATTTGCACGTCCGTTTCTGGTACTTTTTTACTTATAAATTATAACAACATACAGTTTTACATTAGTGTAACGTCCATGGTTGGTTAGTTCAAATTTGATTTCCAATTTATAATTCGAGAATAGCATGGTAATACTTATAGTTAAAAATAACATTGTTTTTATAATTATTATTGGTAATTATATAATTGGATATTGTAAGTAATGACGTTTTTTCGAATATGGAATGATTACAGATCAAAGAGTTTGAAGGCAAGGAGACCGCACAGTTAGTCGACAGATATAAATTTCTCGACTTGTATCCTTGTAGTATAGCCGAATTAAAGTCCATTGGTTACACCGAGGTATGTATATACTGTACTCGGAAATATTATGATCCATATTTTATAGACATTTAAATTGAAATTTAAAGAAAATTTAAATTATCTTAGTATTTAAAATATTTTTTAAGTAACTAAATAACAAAATGTATCCCATGTAAAAATCTTGTATCAATGTATAAATCTTGATATTTCGAATACAAAAATGTAAATATAGCTAATTGGATGTCACTTTGGGGAATTTACAAAAATTGTCCAACATCAATTTAATGTCATATTTAGGTTGCGTCCATGTCTAACAAGTCGTGGGCTTTAGGCGGACCACTGGCTGGCATATCGCCAGAGTTAGCTGCTGTCATTTTAGGACAAAAGTGAGTATAAAATTCGACCTTTAATCGTTTATATTGAAATTTTCATTTATATGTTATATTTCTGTTCAATATTACAATTTCAGAGACAATGATCCAAACAAAGATATCGCTCGTCCAGACACAAGTCAAATGATTCCGTACAAGCCTAAAGTGAATCCATTACCAGGGGAACATCCTATACCAGGTGTGTTCACAATTCCGGTATAATTATATTAAAGACAATTTTCTCCGTATTTGCGTAGTGAAATCTATAGAATCCTTACTAATATTATAAACGCGAAAGTTTGTATGTATGGATGGGTGTTTGTTACTCTTTCACGCAAAAACTACTGAATAGATATTAATGAAACTTCACAATAATATAGCCTATACATCAGAATAACACATAGGCCATAATTTATAAAGATATTGTCTAAATTGTCCAAAATATAGGTAATGATAAGTGTCAATTGAGTTGGAAAAAATTCAGCCATATGTGAGATATTCTGGTGTATAATAAAAAACTCATTGTTAATTCCCTTTGAACGCGCGGGGGAAGCCGCGGTTAACAGCTAGCAATTTCATATTTTGAGGATTTTATCGCTCTTAAACTTGTCATAATTTCATTGTAATATTTTTAAAATAGACAAATCTGAATGTAAGTAATTTAGCCAGTCAATATTCTTGTAAAATTATAAAAAAGTATTTGTTTGGCGTGATCGAAATCGATGGCAAAATTCAATTCACATTATTAGTAAAACTGTACTATGTATCAACTACACACGAAAATCATATATAAAATGTTTGCCTCTTTAGGAGTATATATATATATATATATATATATATATTTCATGAGCAGCATGAAATGAAAACGGGTCCACAGCGGCGACAATCTTTTCGTACTTTTTCTACAAGTTTTAGCGGGCTTAAGTAACCGTTTGTTTGTTCGTAGGTGGAACATTCCCTATGCCGCCGGCTTGCGCGCATCTGTGCACGCTGATGCCGCCGCCGTCTTCTTACCGAGGGCCGTTCGTCGCCGTCGATCGTCTGATGCAGCTGTTCAATCGCATCGCTTTGCCAGATAAACGTGAGTCATCTTTTTTTTTTACGCGAGAAAGTGGCGAACTGGCTGGCGGTTCTACTGATGTTAAGTGATAACCGCCGCCCACGGACATTGTTGCAAATGTCCGTGGGCGGTGGTTGACCGATTGCAGATGTGTTGCCACTTTTTAATAATGTGGGCCCCGGATACCTCACTCACCAGACGAAACGCAGAAGTGTAACACTTCTACTTTACGCAGGTCTCCTGTGAGGTCGTGATACTAACCCGGACGGACCTGCCCATTCGTGCAACAGCGATTACTGTTGCGTGGTCCTACCACAGTTAATCTATTACGTTTTACATAATTTCTTTGGTCTTTTTAGATCCTGTACTACCTTGTCTGTGATGCATGAAAGAAGTAAAAATAATAGATAATCAAATAAGAAGGATAATATCAGTCACTAATTTATTCGTTGAGATTAAAAAAAAAACCGGCCGAGTGCGAGTCGGACTCGCGCTCGTTGGGTTCCATACCGGAATCTATAAAAAGGCAAATAATCATGTTGTATCGTTGTATGGGAGCACCACTTTTTTTTTGTTTAAGTAAACACTGCCCTCACTTATGATAACATTATTCTGTGTTGTATGGACGTTTTACAAACATAATAAGGCACGGGGACAAACACCGAGATGCGAGACAACTATCTGTGGGTCGCACAAATAGTTGTCCCGTGTTGTAAAGTTGTGTCGTAGTACACTACTGAACAACACGCTAAATCGCGTACCAGGTCTTAAAAGTACGTCCACCTTCTCATTCCAGGTATCAAAATACTTTCAAAGTATTTCTGTTCAACGCAACAAGTCGAATACTTGTTTCCTTGCAAGTTTAAACCTTGTTGCTATACAAATAAAATTCAAAACATTCCACTCAAGACGTAAAATATTTTGAAAGTATTTTATTTGACGTATAAGCACAATCTGAACCTTATGTGTATGACTATATAGTTCGAGTTCGATCGACGTAGTGATACTTTTAAGGGCTAGTATAATTTAATGGAAAAATACTTTCAGGTCTTGCAAGTATATCGGGTCGGTACCTGGTTGGTATACTTCTAAGGAAACACCTGGTATCAATACCTGGCAACGAACAGACGGACAGCGCATTCACTAAGACTCCGCTGTCCGTCTGTTCGTTCCGTTTTACTCTTTTGGCACGGGCCCTATAAAGGGATCCAAAAACCAAAAACATGCGTTGAAGAGTTTCATTTTAAATATTGTCTTCATAACAAGACTAAGAGACTCGGAAAAACTTTACCGCTCAATTTATGACTTATAATCTTCACAGCTCCAGCGCCAACGCAAGAAAACGGTTGTGACACAAAACTGTTTGATCTTGCGCGATCCGTGCACTGGATCGTCGATGACGAAGGAATTACAACAGTATCCAACAAGGTACCTCTATTATCCGAAAACTATATGAATAACTTACACTCATTAGCCTCTATAGATGAAAAAGTCAGTTTCACTTAGAAACAAAATATTTATATATGAGAAAAGACATTGAATGAAAATTAGTTTCTTTAAAGTTAATGAAATATGAGCTTTTAATTGATTTCCAGTCAACATTTAAGAGGTCTCATACTAAAGATAAGTAATGACGGTACTTTATTATTTTCAGGCGAGGCGAAGAAAAATCGGTGAAGACTCGGATGATGATGAACTGGGCGTTGCACCGCCTGTCAATGATATCTACCGACAGAGGCAGCAGAAACGGGTGAAATAAACCATTATTAACTTCGCTGTTCTCACCTGACTGATATGGATGTAATTGAGAGTTTAGAATGAAATAAACGTGACGAGTGCGTTTAATGTTTGTTTTCGAGCCGATGTGTGTTTCAGAGGTGTGATAACAAATAAAGAGCAATTTTATAATAGTAGTTGTCGTTTTATTTACATTCATTTGAACATTAGCCGATAAATGCTTACTCTTGCTTATTATATAAATAACTACACCGCTTTCCCCATTTCTCCACCAAATCTTTGACTCCTAAAACTTTAATAATTGTACGTTAAAGACATTACAATATTGTTTTGGATAAAAGCCAAGTGTGTAAGAAGTATAAATTAGAAGAATTAAGTGAAATATATACAGTAGTATTTGCGTGATACGGCCATAATGGCAGGCCTCTGTAATACAGAAACATTTTGAACAGTAATTATGTTGTTGGTAATTTATAAAATCTGGTAATAGAAGTAATTTTATTTTATATAAAAAATATTTACCATTATAAATCTAACTAAATTGCATATCTATACATATACAGCGTGTCGTTACAATCGCGGCAATAAATGAACACACGTCTAACGCTACTTGCCAATAATCATAAAAAATATAAAAGTTAAAAGAAATCCATAATTAAAAAGAATATTTTTCAAACAAACTAATTAATATGACCATGTGACTTCCGTGCTCAACTTCAGTGGCTACCTATACGCCAACGACGCTCTCTAAGAGCACTGACTACTTTGTACTCCCTCCTGAACTCGCCTTCTACCCCATCTTACTTATCCCATTATTTTCAATATTTATGTGCTGTCAGCAACAAAAACCTTCGCTCTTCACATAATCGTCTTCTTGTATGTCCATCTCAACGTTCTGACTTCATGCACTCTTCTTTCTTTATCCAGTCCATCGTCCTATGGAATGAGCTTCCTCTCGAAATCAGGTTGGCTAAAAGTCGCTTTATATTCAAAAGAAAAGTTCGTGAGCACATCCTCAAAAATTTGTCGGCAGATCAACCTCATTGTTGAATATATATATATATATATATATATATATATATATATATATATATATGTATATATATATATTGTGTGTATTTATTTATATTTTAGTATGTATTAAGTTTATGTTTATAATCTTCTTATGTAGTGTATAATCTTAGAATATTACTTATCTCAACATATACAAATAATATCAGATATGTACCTTGTAAGTTTCAGTTGTAGCTATTCTTTTTTTTTTGTCTCTCTGTGCACCTACCTAATCTTCTCTGTACCACCCTAAGGTTGACTGGGAGATAATGCCTTCGGCATTAAGTCCGCCTTTGTACTTTTAGTGCATAAAGGATAAATAAATAAATAAATAAAAAAGAAAAAAAATTTAACATCCTTTACAATTACAACTGGCTGATTCATACATTCAGAGACTTTTTAATTCGTTGCCACAGCGTCGCAATACAAATCTCTCCTACTAACAGTAGGTATGTTTTATCTCTTAAATTCATTCAACCCATTCATATGCTTTGTGACCTTTACAAATGAACTTTACGTTACAGTTTTATACGTAAGGGCGTAAGCGTTCTAAATTTAATAACTCGGTAAATATTGATGTTTAAAGAATTTAAATGTTTAATACAATTTTAAAAAGTTATCCTCTATATGTGTGTTCATTTATTGTCGCGGTGGTAACGCCACGCTGTATAATACAATATTTATTCGATTTATTAATATATTTCAATTATTTTTCCTAATTTTTTATGTATGAAGGTTATATAATATAATATATAGTTTATATAAGGTTATATATATATATATAATTGTATGTAGGTTAGAAAACAAAGAAAGAAGCAGAAAATTAGTTCAATAAGGGGACTTCGATCGCAGATTCTTTACACTTCCGCTAAAGTGAAAAACACTTATCGTCCTCTTTTTTATTGGTTTTAATTACCTTATCATTTCAGTATATATGTCTTATCTATGCCCTATCCTTTTTAAACCATTCGACATGTTATGATGCACGAAACGTGTAAATGTGAACTGTCACTGTTTGGAAATCGTGCGGCAGGCCGTCCCACACTTCGTTTTCCTAACCGTGGTGTCCACTCTAACACGTGGCGGCGGACCATCAGTACGTCTGGAGACATGGCCAGCCCACTTCCACTTCAGCGTGCTAATTCTGCGCGCAATGTCGGTAACTTTAGTTCTCTGGGGAATGACTTCGTTTCGTATCTTGTCTGCCAGAGAAACCCCAAGCATTGCGCGTTCCATCGCCCGCTGAGCGACCTTGAATTTGTGGACCAGCCCCACGGTGAGTGTCCACGGGCTCCGTAGGTCATTACTGGTAGGACGCACTGGTTAAACACTTTGGACTTGAGGCATTGCGATATTGACGATTCAAAAACGTGTCGTAGCTTCCCGAATGCCGCCCAGTCTAAGCGTATTCTTCGGTTGGTCTCTTTCTCAAAGTTGTGCCGGCCTAGTTGTATAGTTAGGCCAAGGCAGGTGTATTCCTGCACAACCTCAAGCATAGCGCCATTCACGACCACTGGTCTCGGGATCACATGACTATTGGACATAATTTTCGTCTTGTCAAGGTTCATACCGAGACCCACTTGTCTCGAAGAATCGCTCAGGCTGTTGAGCATGGCTTCCAGATCTTGCAGAGATTCTGCCATGTAGTCAATGGCCAAGTGTGTTATTAATTGGCCATTAATATTAATGCCCCGTCCGTTCCAATCCAGCGTCTTAAAGACGTCCTCCAATGCATTGGTAAACAGTTTCGGGGAAATCACATCCCCCTGTCTTACCCCACGATGCAACTGGATTGGCCTTGTGCTTTGACCTTGTACTTGGACGGACATTGTTGCGGTCTCAAATAGACGTGTCAACACTTGGATATATCGACAGACAATTAGGCATCTCTGCATGGATTCTAGAACAGCCCAGGTCTCGATTGTATCGAAGGCTTTTTCGTAGTCCACATACGCTAGGCATAGAGGCTGGTTGTATTCCTCGGTCTTCTGAATTATTTGCCTAAGTGTATGTATGTGGTCCACTGTGCGGAATACTTTACGAAACCCGGCCTGCTCCACGGGCTGGAAGTCATCGAATTTTTGGGCGAGACGATTCGTTATAACCCTCGAGAACAACTTATATATATGGCTCAGGAGTGATATCGGTCTATAGTTTTTCAAAAAAGTCTTATCACCCTTCTTGAAATACAACATAACCACACCACCGCTCCATGCCTCCGGTGTAATGCCATTAGGAAGGACGGAATTAAAGAGCTTAGCCAGCTCCGCCAATACTGGTGTGCCTCCTGCTTTCAATAGCTCTGATGTAATTCCGTCCTCTCCCGGAGCTTTGTTGTTCGCAAGTTGTCTGAGGTCAATACTTATCTCGCCCATGTCGATATCGGGAAGCACGTCTAACAGGTGGCGTGTTAGTCTAGCTCGAGGATCATCCGCATTGTGGGAGTGAGGTGGAGGTACTTGGGAAGTATATAGGTCCCTATAAAACTTTTCGACTTCAGTGAAAATCTCTGGCTTAGAGATGACGGTGGTTCCGTGAGGTGTTGTGAGTTTTGACAGGTGACAGCAAGAGGTTTGAAACTTAGCAAAGACTTTTGAGCCCCCGTTGCGCGATATAAGATTTTTAATCTCTTGGGTCTTCGCTCGTCTACAATCTCGCCTTATCAGTTTCTTAACCTTTCTGTTAAGTACCTGACGCTCACCTGAAGCTGTCACAAATATCACCTGTCGTCTCTTCTTCATCTCCTCCAGAGTCTCGTTTGAGAGCTTCGACTTTCGTCCAGTGCTCTTTGGTCGAAAATATTTTTCTCCCACTTCACAGATGGTCCGCGTTAGACTATTGGTGGCGTCGTCAATGTCCTGCGTGTTTTCCAGCAAGGCGAATTTGCGATTTTGTAGCTCTAGCTGAAAATTTTTACATTCAGCTTCAACCTGGGGCAGTGATGGACTCAGAGTCGCCTTCACCAGTCGCGCACGTTCGATCTTGATATTTATATTCAGGGTGCCTCTTACAAGACGGTGATCGCTACCGGTATTTACCCTATTGATCACTGAGACATCCCTGAATATATGGCGCTTATTGAACACATAATGAAGTCGATCTCATTTAAGCACCTTATTGGGGCTCCACTTCTCAGGTCCACTTCCTCTGAGGCTTTTTCGGCTAGTAGGAGTTCATCAGAAATAGCCCCTGATCCTCAAGGAAGTTTACTAGCATTTGCCCCCTGTGATTTCTGCTCCCATAGCCGAATGCTCCTAATCTCGATTCGCCATTCTCGCGTACTCCCACTTTGGCATTAAAGTCACCCATAACAACAGTGTAGAAGGCTTTGGTACGGGACATAGCTTTTGCTACGTCCTCGTACATGGCTTCGACGTCTTCGTCAGGATTTGAAGTCGTTGGGGCGTAAACCTGTATCACTTTTAGTATGTAACACCTGGCCGAACTGGAAGTAGAACTAAGTCATATTAACTGGCACATAGCGGGTCTATCAGAAATCCGAAGACAGGGCGAGGATATGATGGCACTAGATGCTGGTCACTTGCTCTACTTCCGAGAAGGACATCAACTATCCCAAGGTGGCGTCGGATTTCTAATACACAAGTCGCTCAGAAGCAGCGTTGTAGAGGTTGGCAGTGCTAGGGTAGCGTACCTCGTATTAAAGGTGAGCGAAAGATACTCCCTAAATTATACATGCTAAATTTTAAGTTAAAGGTCACAAAGTAGAACAAAAGCAATTGGTCGGATTTATTATCTTTTCATTCATTATCTTTTTTCTTGAAGGCACATAGTCTTGTCCCGTACAAAAATATAAAAAATCTAGAATTTATCCTTCTGGAAAGCATTAAATTGTTTTGTAATGTCACTAAGAAGCGCTCCGGCGTTTTCAAGATATACCTTTCAGATATTGTTGCTTAGTTAGTCACTTGAAAATGACATAATTGCCTTGGTCTTTATCCGTAATTCGCAATGCAGGGTACGAAGTATCGTAAGGCAGCGTAAGAACGGCGAAAGATTGATTTCCGCTTTCTCATTCCTCTTCGTGCTCTCGTACGGAACGGACCTCTCTCTAAGACGGAGGGCTAATGCCCTCTGATGGTAAGCGCAGCAAATGCCCTCTGGTGGTAAGCGCAGCAAATTACCAACCCGACACAAACGCGAACGTCAACAAGCGTCGCCCGCGAAACGTCCTAATCAACCCGGTCGAGGAAGGGGGCTTAGATACGCCGGACCCACCGCCGGGGGTCCCGCCGGACAACACTACACCCACAGTTAGTGCAACAACAAACACAGTAGTTCGCCCTCGCCTCCGAGCACGGCGAGACCAACACAACGCGTACACAAGGTACACCCACGTTCCGGGGCGGTTCTCACCGCCCCTAGCCACCGATTAGCTAATTGCACAGTCGACGGCCATCGGGGTTTCGGTCCGAACCGCGACCTCGATGGCTCTTAGATGACACACCATAGTTAAACGCACGCATGAGCACATGCGTGGCCCTACCCACAGCGGAGGGCCCAAACCCGTGGGTTCTGGTTAGCCCACCGGTTCTGCGTCAGATGAAGCTTTAATAGTCTCGGGACTGAAAGCAACAACATCAGTTAATACAAGATACAAGAGCGAAAGATTGATCAAAGGATGCTTTTGGTGAAGGTTAAAGAGAGTCATCATTATAAGGAGGAAGGATGTCATCTGAAAATAAAATGTGCGATCTCAATGAATTGATTGGGAATGGGATGAGAAGAAACTGATTGATCAAAGTTGAAATATGCAAATGTATTAATGTGTTGATAACGACTTAATTATTAATTAAATATTTACGAACGCAACGAAATGTCGAAATCATATGTATTGACTTTTCATTGATGACATCGGATGCCGAAAGCGAAAAAATATATCCCTATTTATAAAAATATCAATATTGGCCTCGATATATCGATATTTCCTTTTTAGGCACTTTTGTCAAAAAAAAGGTATTTGAATGTACGGACTCTATCTCGGATGCGAATTTAAAAAAAATATCGTTTTTGATATGATTTCAAACATTTTATATCGATACATTGGATCAAAATATATCGGCTAAAATATCGATATATTTTATAAAACTTAACTTTAATAACAAAATATCGATATTTTTTCGGCATCCCTACTGACATCTATGCGCTATTCCTTTTTATGAAATGAACTGTTTCAGATTTTAAATTAAAAAAATATTTTACTTGTGGGTTGTAGGCGATAAGTAAAAATCTGTTCTTCGTCTTAACGTTTAGTAATTCCATTCTAAGCAAAATTGAAACGATAGATATTACTTAAATTTCATTTTATAGATTTAAGTTACCTCAACTGACTAATCAAAAAATATTGTTACGATAACGTTAATTGTAACGTAATAGACCAAAAATGGCCTCGATTTTCAATGTTTTTCTGCGAAAATCTGCAAATTTGGGCCAAAGTAAAGCCTTGTTAAAGAATTTGCCAGTTGTAAATCATGTGAAGTGAGTGATAACATGATTAAATTTATTTTATTGTCGTAATTCCAATATAATAATATTTATTATTATGTAACGTTATAGGTTATACAGTTTTTTTTCAGTTTTAATATTAAATCTTAACAATATATATTGCCTCTCCAATTTGTAAGGTTTCCAATCGCAATTTTCTCCAACAAATATGTGATTATTTTGAGTAACTATATCTTCAGAAGATTAATTAAAAAAATATGACGTGTAGAATGTTTATAATAGAATAGAATGTTTATAATAGTACTTTTCTTATAGCTCTCAGCGTAATGCCCATCGCTGGATGCCCGATACAGAATTTGTTAAGCAATTCGAGGGAGCTGTTTTGTTTCCAGATGAATATGGAATGATTATAAAACATTTACCATATAACAGTGAGTAAAGTGAAATATTTAAAATTAATACAATTTAGCACACCAAAATAACAATGAATAAAAAAGGTACCTAAGTAAACACCTAAGTAAGCCAATAGTTTACTGAAAAGTGTAATATTAAATTCATTTCTTTCACCCTCTTAATTTAAGGTAACCAAATCTCCCATCCCTGTGATTTATTATTTTTCGAATATATTATATATTATTTTGAGGACTACACCCTAGTCATTGAAAATTTATCAAATCTGATGATATCTATCAAATGTTATTCTCACAGCAACGGAAAACTTTTCATCCATTCTTTCCACAAATTTAATTATATTTTATACATAAATAATAAATTTGTAGGAGTATGTTTTCTTGGCAGTTTCAAAATAGAAGTTTCTGTCCATACATGGAAGGTTAAGTTATTGTGGTAAAAAAAATCAATATGGTGAAAAAGAAAATAGGTCTAGATTTGCTTGTAAAATTATTAAAAATTGTATGGCATCTAATATGCTTATGACTGCTTTTTGAACTGGTGGTTTACCTGATGTTATATGATAAGCGCCACCCATGGATATTTGCAACACTCATAGGGTTGCAGATGTGTTGCCACCTTTTAATAAAGTTAGCTATGGCTATGTCACTGTATGGTTGTGTTGCAAGAGATCACTGTTGCCTGGCCCTACCACATTAAATGTAACACTAATGTGAACTTCTTTTTGTTATTGAGCTATAATATTGTTAATGTTGTAAGGTGTGATCGCTCCAACTGAAAAGCAAGTGCGCAATATGGTCTTGAACTTTGGGCCTCAGCATCCAGCCGCTCACGGTGTACTTCGTCTTGTCCTTGAATTGGATGGTGAGGTAATAGTTTCAGATTTGTTAATTGATTAAGTAAATATTTATGACTGTTATGATTATTGCAGTATTTACTGTAAAGGTAAATTGCATTGCAACATATATTTTCAATTAGGATAGACATTATTTATACAGGTGCTTATAATTTACAGAGTGAATTGTTTTAGATAAAATAAATAGAAGTTTTCAGTCACCAAAACTGTATTGGCATAAGTGTTAAATAACCTTAAGATGTTAAGAAAAATTTTAAATAACACTATTCTTTTGTGCTATTTAAAACACTGAATAAAAATCTTTCCAGACGGTGCGTGCAGCTGATCCCCACATAGGTCTTCTTCACCGTGGTACTGAAAAACTAATTGAGTATAAAACATACACCCAAGCTTTGCCATACTTTGACAGGCTTGATTATGTGTCGATGATGTGCAATGAACAATGCTACAGCTTGGCTGTAGAGAAGCTCCTTAACATTGACATACCAATACGAGCCAAGTACATAAGAAGTAAGTACAATTAGGATTGGCAACATATTATCCCTTAATTCCCTAAGAACCAAGTTTTTATTATTACTATTCAACAGCCGATTTTACCTCAAAATCCCTTCAATCTATATAAATAATTATAATAAGCTTATTGCCTATTACTAAGCCTAACTGTAATTACACTGAAGTCACAAGAACAGGTTAGTTAATATACCTTTTTGTTGGTGATCTTGAATACTATTAACTTGCATCAAGCAACATATAGCAGTTTCTAAATGAGTGCTAAAAGAAATCTCAGTCATTGCATGACAGTGAAATAAAATACAGTCTTGTCTTTGCACCACAGTTAGTTATAAATTATTGAAAACTGCACACTTATGGGTGGTTCCTGATCTCTAACTTCTCTGCTTTAAAATAGCCCAAAGAGGTGTTTCAAAAATTATTCTGGATAAATCTGTTGAATATCCTTTATGAGCAGGCACAGATTATGAGCGCCAGGAGGCTCTATATCACGAGAGTAGTAAATATGTGCATGATATTGTCAAATTCTAAGTGACGTAGAAATCTTGAAAAAATTAGGTTTTAAAATTTCTAGTGTTACTATAAATAATTTTCTTTGTACATAGGTTTGGAATTTTGTCATCTTATATTCTGTTCGCTCATAAGCCGGGATAACTTATTGTCTGGGCGCTTGCTATATACTAAAGCAACCTGAGTTCGATCCCCGGCACTGGCATCGGTGCACCGGTGAAGGAAAACATCATGAGGAAACCTGCATGTTTTCGAAATAATCCAAAAAAAAAAACTAGAAAACTAAAAAACAAGTATTCGAAGTTTTTTAATGTTAAAAAAAAAGTGAAAGTATTCACATATTCCATTAAAAAAATAGATCAATGTGAGAATAGTGAAAATTAGCTAAAAGTACGCTCAAAACTGAAGTTACGAAAAAGCAGAGTTGTAAAGTCGTAAATTGAGATTCATTAGGGCTTAGTCACTATTGCAATAATAGCGAGAAATCAAATAAATAATTATATTGTTTTTTTTTATGCCATTCTTCAGTACTGTACAGCACAGTAGTACATTTCACACAAAAAATAGTATTGATTGGCGGTGAATTCTAAAGTTAAACCACATTTTGTTTTACAAACAGAAAGTTCTTTTTACAAACTCAGACTTTTGTTTATTGATTAGCTTTGTGGTTTCATTATATTTAAATATTTTGAATAAAAATGTTTAAATATAATGAAAATGGATACTTTAAAAATTTGTGTAATTATTGAGTATGAGTTCCGTCGTGACACCAACGCGGCACAAACGCCACGTCAACAACATCACAAACGTTTACGGAGAGAACGTTACAAACGAATACACAACCAGTTATTGGTTTACCCGGTTCCGTTGTGGAAATTTTGACTCGAAAAATGAACCTTGTAGTCATCCTTCTTGGCAAGTGCACTACCCGCTAAGCCAATCGGGTCGTCAAATTGTGTGGCAAAAGACATTGTAATCATATACGTTTAGAATATAAGAAAATAGAAATGACCTGCAAACATTAATTAATACATTTTCATTACCAAACCTACCTACAGCTCTCTACGCTGAGCTGACTCGCATCCGGAACCACATTATGGCTGTGGCAACCCACGCGCTGGACGTGGGCGCACTGACGCCGCTCTTTTGGCTGTTCGAGGAGCGAGAGAAGTTGATGGAGCTATATGAACGGGTCAGCGGTGCCCGAATGCATGCCGCCTATATACGCCCTGGTGGAGTTGCTCTTGTAAGTAGCTTCTCCTTCCTTTAAATACCATTTAAGTAATTTTCTCTTAAACTTTGTGAAAATTAAATTGTGGGAAACTTCCCACCATTGAAACATTGTGTCATTTGAAGAGATATTTTGATTTTTATGTGAAAAGTTAAGTGGACATCTACAGTATCTTGCAGAAGCATTGACAAGAAAGTTTAATACTTCTATTGTTCTTTGAAAGTTTAATACTTCTGCTTGCCGCCAGTCTTCTGTGAGGCTGTGTTACTTTCGCGGACGCGCCTTTCCATTTTTGCAACAGCAGAAGCTGTTTCTTGGTCCTACCACATGCTTTTGGGCTATTAATTTCGTTTGGCAAACTTTTTTACCTCATCTTGTTCTCTTATAAATAAAAATTATTGTCATTTTACATAAAATTATGTTTAAAGTATTATGCAGGCAGATGAGCTTTTATTTAAAATATAAATTATTCCATGCCCATGCTTATTGAAAAACTATGATACATACTAAACTTGTTTTATATACCTCTAAAAAATTTCTCATAAATTGAATATTATTAGAAGCAGTCTTTTTCAGGACATGCCACTTGGTCTAATGGACGATATCTACGAATTCGCATCGAAGTTCTCGGAGCGCCTGGATGAGGTTGAAGATGTGCTCACCACCAACAGGATCTGGGTGCAGAGGACCAAAGACATTGGGGTGGTCACCGCTCAGGACGCTCTTAACTATGGTTTCAGGTATATAAGTTACTTTCATAATTAATTTAGTATTTTGTATAGTAATTGCGTGTTACGATTGCATACAGTCTTTACATGTGTTAAAATACAAATATCTTTATTAAATATAGAAGCATTACACTGGTAATAGAATTTTGACACTGTCACCTATTACCAGAACGTATTTGTATACATGTGAACATGTCGCCTGGAAGTGGTGCAGTTAGCATAAAAATGATATTTTTTAGTTTTTAGTTAATTAGAAAAAAGAAAACCTTTTTATAATTTAAGTGAATCATAAATAAAATGCAGTTTTAAAAATTTAATTTTATTTATTATATTATTTAATGGCTTCTTTGTTTCATCTTGCAAAATGGTAGTAACAGTACATTCACTAAGTCCTGTTTCCTTATGTTGAACTCGACTTCACAACACTCTTCTGCTAGGCCATGGTACTTCCCTTGACGAGATTTATAGCCATACATATATGTCAGTACCAGTATAAAATAAATTCAGTTTTTTTCCACTAATGATACACACAATGTAGTAATATTGTATTGTAATTATTTTAAAATATGTATTATATTTCAGTGGAGTAATGCTGCGTGGCTCTGGCATCAAATGGGATCTTCGCAAGACTCAACCCTACGATGCTTATGAATTTGTTGACTTTGATGTACCCATTGGAACTCATGGTGATTGCTATGATAGGTAAATGAAAAAAAAAATATCCATTGAATTGTTAAGTTTAACAATTTTTAGTGATGATTGATAAGAAGTAAATGCTTAAACCATATGCAAAATAGTAAACATTGGTTTGGTAGTCAGTAACCGCAGGTCAGGCCTGCGCCACTTTTCATAGGTCTACCAAAACACTAAATTGTAAAGCGATTTTGTTATTTCACTGCGTTTTTATGCGTGAAGGTGGCCTGTTCACCTGATATTAATCGATAATGGACACTTGCAACACCCGTAGACTTGCAGATGCGTTGCCTTTATTTACCTTTCTATAAAGTGAGGCCCAGCTAATACCTCGCTCATCAGACGAAACGCAGAAGTATAACACTTTCGCTTCACGTCGGGCTTCTGTGACGTCGTGGTATTTACTCGGACGGACCTTCTCATTCGTGCAGAAGACTTGCGTGGCCCTACCACCGCTATAACGTACCAAATATGAAGAAAGCCATTCCTATTAAATAGATTTCCTTATAAAGATGGAACTATTAATAATAATTTGACTTTTTACTCTTAGTTTTCCTTTTTTTTTTAGCCGTGATAGTTCAGTGTCTGGGCGCTCGCCTTTAATTCGATATACTCAAACAACCTGAGTTCGATCCCCGGCGCCGGCACCAATGAAGTTTTTAACTTTAAGTGCTGAATTATCACGTGCTCCGCGTGAGGAAACCTGCATTTTTTCGAAATAATAACAAAAAATATATTTCGAAGATATGTGAAGACCGCCAATCCGCAGTGGGGCCGCGTGGTGGACTATGTCCTTATACCCTCTGTATAGAGGCCTTTGCCCAGCAGTGGAACATGTATAGGCTGTTACTTTACTTTTTTTTTTACTTTTTTTATATAGTTTGTTAAACCTTTCAGCACCAATACTTGCCAAAACCTTTCTTTTTGTCCTTAGATACCTTTGTCGCTTGGAGGAAATGCGGCAGTCTTTACGCATCATTGATCAGTGTCTGAACAAAATGCCGCCCGGCGAGGTCAAAACTGATGATGCTAAGCTAACGCCTCCATCCCGAGAGGAAATGAAGGTACTCTTTTATATATTAGCTCAATAGGGACTCCTAAGAGAACTTTTATCCAAATGCAATCTAAGTTCATCTATTACAAAACTAAATGAAAATTCCATTAAAAAACTTTGTGTGTAGTTAGTTGTTCAGTCCTGTATAGACCTATTGTGACAATGACTATTTTAATACAAAAAGCAACAAAAAAGTACATTGGCCAAAGATAGGTGCAAGATAACCTGTCTGAACATTTAATATACCATTATAAGATTCATAACGGAATCCGATTTTCCTAAAGTTTTACGTGTTATCGCGATTTTTATTTCTCAGACATCAATGGAGGCCTTGATTCACCACTTCAAGTTATTCACGCAAGGCTACCAGGTTCCTCCAGGAACCACCTACACGGCAGTTGAGGCGCCAAAGGGAGAGTTTGGAGTATACTTAGTTTCTGATGGCGGATCTAAACCATACCGGTAATTGATTATAAACATTTCCAAAGTTTTTAAAATCATAATATAATATTTAGACTTGTGTGGTTTCTGAAGGTACAAGGCACGAAAGACATATAAGGATTGCAGGTAGCAAAAATACGAAATCTTTCTATATCCATCTCTTAAATATTTGTAGACTTTATCTTCGCTTGTAATATCAGTATATCAGAACATACTGTGTACTGCGGCACATACACGTGACCAGACATCAGGGAGAATACAAGTAATAAATTAAATTGAATAATATAGTGTATGATTTGGTTATGATTTTGTGTTACTTTAGGTAGCAAGTCCAACCCAACGACCACTGCAACTCTATAATATAATGAAAGGTTCAGTCTCTATATCTAGATATACATATGTGTGGAGTAACCATACTCTCAACATTGGTGTTACTCTTAATATTATGCCGATGATTTGTAATAATGCATATCAAATTCGAAATTGCAGATGCAAGATTAAGGCCCCGGGCTTCGCTCATCTGGCCGCGTTGGAGAAGATAGGCAAGAACTCAATGTTGGCAGACATTGTCGCCATTATCGGAACCCTCGACGTCGTGTTCGGAGAAATTGACCGATAAGCGATCCTCCTTTTCAACTTAAGTGAAAAATAGCCGAAATCAGTTGTAGAAATGTACATTTTTACTTTTAAGAAATAAATTATTAAGTAAAGCTTTTGTTTCTTATAAATGCAGATACCGGTAATTGAGTTTGTAGTAGTTTCATGCAATAAATACCTTCACGCAAAAATGACTCTTGTTACTTCTATAAATATTCACCTGGCGCGGCACTAGGAGAGGCTCTCTTAATCTCTATAATTATCATTTAATTTATTAAAGTTTAGGATACTTCAATATTCCATAAAAAAAACTAGATTCGCGGTTAACACCCATTATTTAATTTGGTAAAGGCTGTGTTGTCAAATATTTGAAAGGAGATTTGTCTATTTTTACTTTTTCTCCAGTGCCTAATTAAGCAGTTTCGAAAAGAGCATTTCAATACGAAGGATGCAATGGTGTGTATGAGCATGTCTGGAATGTTAAGTGGAAACAATTTGTAGAACAATAAACTGATATGCCATACCTTGTCGAATGCCTGTATGATATTAAAAAAGACTGCACCCACACTCACTGCTCTGTCAGTTATGCATTCATATATTTTCCCCAAGCAATTGGGAAGACTAAACTAGCGATAGCCGGTAGCCTGGTTGGGTTAGTTTGGCTTAAGAATACTAATGACTAATGATTATAATATCCTCTTAAAAGATAAGAAGAAAAAAAGCGCTTTGAGAATACTCGCTTTTTGATACACGAGCGGGTCTGGGAGGGCTAATAAAACTTTTTTGCTAATTTTAATGGGACCTCTAGAACAGATTCATTTTATTTTTTTAAATTTTGTCTTTGTACATCTATGTTATTGAGCGTAACTCTCATCGCAGGTTCTCCGAGTAAAGTTCTCTATAGGCTGGGGCCTAGAGAGAACTTAGAACAACTGCCTTATGAGAGACGCCATTAATAAAAATTTTGTTTTACATAAAACATTTATTTATCGCTTAAATCTATTCTTTCTCTTCGATTTCGGGAAGATCTCTATCGGTTTCTTGGTCAAAGTACCCTTCCGGTACCACGTAGTCCTCAGGCGGTCGCATCGGGCCGAAGACACGTTTTGATTTCGTATTGTTCTCTCCTTTTTCTTCTTTTATTGATTCATCAACATTTTCAATTGACTTCTCTTTTTGTTTTTCATCCGTTTCCGATTTATGGTCTGTAAATTCGCTTTTGACCTCCGTATCTATATCGTCTTTTATTTTTGTCTCATGGCCCTCGGATGTTTCGCGTTTTGTGACTTCTGCGGTTTCATCATCAGAATCCATCTCTTCTACAAATTCACTCTCTTCTTTTTTAATGTCTTTTCGTGCTTTAGGCCGTTTTTCACCGTCATCCTTTAGTTTTAACCTGGTATAAAAGGAAAAGTAAGTGTAACATCAAACACATAAAAGAACACACTAAATAAAGTCTGAAATAAACACACGTCAATAATCAAATCAAATAAAAAATTAACTGTAGTAAAACGCTTATTTATTTTTAATTAAAATGAGAAATAAGTAAAATTCTATAAAACCTCGCTTTTTATTCATATCTGATTCTAATTTAAAGAATTTATCGACGATATATTATGATTTACTAAGCCTTATCTACATTTCACGTTTTATAATTTTGGATTTCGATCGAACCTCTAAGGCATAGATAATTAAATATAAATTGATTTAGGAGTGCAATAGACATAAGTCTGTATTATTAAATAGTCACATACTAACCTCTTCCCATAAACAACCGAGTTTGTTCCAACTTTCATAGACATCTTTTTGTCGTCCTTCTTTATTAGTGGCGGCGCGTGTGCTGGCCGCGCTATCTCAGCAAGCCTTTGGGTTTTGCTTAAATCTGCTTTCAGCTTTTGTATCTTCATCTGTTTGGATGGATACAAATTATAAGTTTAAAATAAGATCGTTTGCATATTCTCTCGAGAATACTACTCGAGTGTTGTTAAGAAAAGTTAAGTGTTAAGAAAAGGTCTAGAATACTATAGTCTGACCTCATGTTGTTAGTCCTATCAAGCTTAGAAACTAGTTATTCGACTATACCTTTGTTTATGTGAGAAGATGGCAAGTGAGCAGTTCACCTATATTAAAGTGATACCTGCAATACCCATAGAGTTGCAGATGCGTTGCCACCCTTAATAAAGTGGGCTCCGGTTAACTCACTCACCAGACGAGGAGAAGTATGGCACTTCCACTTCACGCCGGTCTTCTGTGTGGTCGTGGTACTACCCCGGACGGACCTGCCCATTCGTGCAATAGCGAAGACTGTTGCGCAGCCCCACCACTGTTAAGTCTATAGTAGTTTTTAATTAACGGATAACGCACGCTACCAACCTTGGCCTTCGAAATGTCAGCCTTGACCGCCATGGCGGGCTTGGCGGCCAATTCGCTCATGTAAGCATCCAAGGCGTCCGCGTCTTCAACGTCGCGTTTTTGCGGCGCGGCGGACGCCCGCAAACGCTCCAGCGACGCCTCCTCGGTGCGGATTTCGCCCTCGATCTCGTCTATTCGCGCCAGCTGGGGCAAACCATCGTTTAGTTCAGAATTTTATTTTTACAAGGAATAAATTTTTTGGCGAAGGCAAACTAGAAAGTAGATGATGTGTCCTCAGAACGGAGGTCTACATTATAGAAACGTTGTGTATAAGAGGCTTCCCATTTATCTTGATATTCTTCTTACATTTCATCAGATTTAAGCATAATTTAAAACAGTGCGAGGGAGGGGAAACTATCGGTGTACGATTGAAAACCAGAATCTATTCGTTTTAATTAATACTTTGGAACTCCCGAAATAAATAATGCCCCAAAATAAAAAAAACACATTAATTTTCAAACAACATAAACAACCGTTACGAAGTGATTGAAGTTGTGAAAATATCTATAGCATGTATTTTAAATGTTATCATCATCTACGAGGTGGAGAACGAGCGATAGCTAGAGACGGATGCCAGCTCTGAAAGCCAAACGTTCGCATATCGTGTCGGTCTTCAACTCACCAGGGCGTCATACGTGAGGGGTCTACTATCGCCGTCGTCGGCAGCGCCGTGTTTCACCATCCGCATCTTGCGCCGCCTCTCCACGTGGCCGGTGCGGTCCAGGTACGAGTCGTCGTCCGAGTCGTAGTAGTCGTCCGCGCTCCAATCGCGCTGTTTGCGGCGACGCGACTCTGCCGGTGACGTTGACATTACAAGGGCGCGTCACATTTAGAAAATTCGTTACACGGGTGACAGTGAAGTTACCTCTTCCCTTCCTCTTTAAGCCCTCCTTTATTTTTTTGTAGAAATACCACTTTTATAGTGCATGCAAGTTAGACGTGCACCACCTCATGGAGAGTGATGATTTAACTTCGCATAGCGTCATAAACATTATAGGGTTATAAGTCAAGAATGGGCTCTTTTCTTAGAAATATTCTGAATTATAATACAGTATAGCACTTGTTTTTCAATTTAAATGTTAACTTAGGATAGCGTCCTTCAATATCAAATGTCTAGCGTTCCGCGGCGAAAATCTATCCCTACATAATTGACTGCGACGAAGATTGTAAAATGGGAGAACCCATACATTGAACTTTCACTCTGACTTTTATTAAATAATGCGATTTTACTAAATAATACCTAAGACAAAATCAAAATCAAAATCAAAAATATATTTATTCAAATAGACGCTTGCGCGCTCTTATGAATCGTCAAATTTTACATCAAAGATTATGTGTATAGGTTCGTAAGGTACCACCGGTTCGGAAAGCGGTTTCTGTTGAGAAGATACCGGCAAGAAACTCAACAGTTGCTCTTTTTCAAAAATATCAGGGTACAATATAATATACAGGTATAATAGTCTTATTCTAGCCTACGTGAGTATCAACAGTATTAACTCCACACATTGGCGTCGTCGAGATATTCCGAAATGGTATAATATGCTTTAATCATCAGTTGATTTTTAATTTTACATTTAAATTGGTCAAGCGGCAGACTTAATATCGACTGTGGGATTTTATTATACATGCGCACACCCTGCCCCAAGAAAGACTTATTTACTTTTTGTAGACGAAACAATAGCTTAGTAAGTTTGTCCTTATTTCTAGTGTTTATTTTATGTCTGTCACTATTCTTTAGGTAATAATTAAGGTTATGACGTATATACAAAACATTACAATAAATGTATTGAGAAGCAACAATGAGTATATTAACCTCTTTGAAAAGATCTCTGAGTGAATTCCGGGCTCCGATATTGTAGATTGCTCGGACAGCTCTTTTTTGAAGAATAAATATAGAATTTATATCTGATGCACTACCCCACAACAAAATGCCGTAAGACAAGATGCTGTGAAAATAACTAAAGTAAACAAGTCTGGCAGTGTCGATGTCTGTTAGCTGCCTAACCCTTCTAATCGCAAAAACCGCGGAGCTCAGCCTATTCGCAAGAGATGATATATGAGGACTCCACTGGAGCTTTGAATCTACTGTAATTCCCAGAAATACAGCAGACTCAACTGGATTAATGGGTACGTTATTTAATATTAAACTAAAACTTTTCCTTCTTATACTGGGAAGGGTGAAAAGAATACATCTGGTTTTTTTGGCATTTAATACCATATTATTAATAGTGAACCAGTGGAGGATATGTGAAAGTGCACTATTCACGTCGTCATAATTTAATACGTTTCGGTCAACTTTAAAAATAAGCGATGTATCGTCAGCAAACAGTACAACATCACACCACCCACTGGCATAAAAGGGGAGATCATTAATATATACTAAAAATAATAATGGGCCCAAGATTGACCCTTGTGGGACTCCCATTTTCATCTGGGACCCAGCGGATTTAACATCATTTATAGATACTTTTTGAATTCTATTACTAAGGTAAGAGGCAATGAGATTGAGGGTGATGCCACGAATGCCATAATATTCTAGCTTTTGAAGGAGAGTTTTATGGTCTACGCAGTCGAAGGCTTTTGAAAGGTTACAAAAGACACCTATTGCATCTTGTGACCTTTCCCAGGCGTTATAAATATGTTTGACAAGTGCGACGCCCGCATCTGTTGTCGATCTGCCTTTAGTGAATCCATATTGCTCATCACGAAAGATTTTGTTCACATTAAAATGAACTAAAAATTGATTTAATATTAGCTTTTCAAAAACTTTACTAAGAGATGGCAATATGGAAATAGGTCTATAGTTGCCTGGATCATTTTTATCACCACTTTTGTAGACAGGTATTATCTTACTAAATTTCATAAGATCTGGAAATATTCCAGAATCTATGCAGTTGTTAAAAATAGAAGCCAAATGTGGTGCAATATATGGCATTATTGTGCTCATTAATTTTATGGACATACCCCATAAATCCTCTGTATTTTTAAGATTAATAGAATTCAAAACTTTTATAATATCATAAGTATCTACGTGATTAAATTTAAATGTGTGTAGGCAAGAGGTAACATTATTTCTTAAAACATTAATTGCGTCTGCGGGAGATGATTTTAATGTACGTGTGACATTAACCGCAATGTCTGAAAAATAGCTTTCGAAACTACTCGCAATTTCGTTATCTGATATTATGGGAGTATTACCTATAACTAGTTTATAGGTTCCCTGAATATCTTGGTTCTTCCAGATATACGGGTAATGATGTCCCATGTGGCTTTAGTTCTATTGTTTGAATCTATTATGCTATTTCTTATATAAATAGATTTTGCCTGAATACTTTTTTAAATATTTTTGAAAACGTTTGTACCCGTTTATGGAAGTTAGGATCGTGATTCCACTGCCTCATACTATATAATTCATACAACGAATCCCTACTTTTATATATACCCACTGTTGCCCAGTCACTAAATTTTAATTTTGAATTCTTAACAATTGTGCAAGATTTAAAAGTATCATTATAAGAAGATATGAGAAAGTCAACCCCATTAATCTATAAGAGTCATTAGGGTTATTATCTTTATTTAACATATGATGTGCCACTTTATCTCTAAAAGCATTTATTCTATTAGTAGTGACTGGTCTACACTTGATCTTAAGTTTGCTTGTATTAGCTTTTTCATTTATTGAAAATTTTAGCCCAAAGTGATCCGAGCTCAGATGATTTATAACATATTTATCATATACATCACTGTGACAGAATACATTATCTATACATGAGGAGGATAAGTTAGTAACACAAGTTGGTTCATGAAAAAGATTTTTAAGTTCAAATGAGTTAAATAAATTTAAAAGTCGTTTACTGGGTTGTGTTACTTGTAATAAATCCACATTAAAATCTCCACAAACTATTAATGATTTACTACTTGAACATAGTTTTTTAAGAACATCATCCATTACACACTCAAACTGATCGAAATCACCTGAGAGGGGCCGGTATACGCATACTATAATATACTGTTGACTCTCAACGCAGGATAATTCAATAGAACGTTCGACAGAGTGTGCCACTATATCCTGTCGATTTTTACAGACTATATCAGTTCTAACTAATACAAGAGAGCCACCGCGAATAGCATTTACTCTTACGAACGAACTTAACAATTTATAATTTTCTATATTAACAATATTACAGTGCTTATGTAACCATGTCTCTGTGAAGCAGATGACATGTATATTAAATTTCCTAAGGAACAATTCAATTTCGGGTTCTTTGCCGCCTAAGCCTTGTATATTTTGATGCACAATATTTAATTTGAGTGGCCTAGGCGTTGTCTCAATGTTTAGTTTAAACTAACATAGTTTGCTGAAAGATTATTACATAATAAAATATTCTTAGTTGTACTATGTACAACTGGGTTTTGTATATTATATGCTACTAGAGTAGCAATTAGCTTCTTATAATATAGTGGCAAATACAAAGTATTTTTTGTCACCTTAAAACTAGATTTAATAAAATTATTTAAGTCAAAATAAAAGAAAGCGTCACTATGACGGTGAGTTATGTTATATATAGTCATGTTAAGACTATATATGTATTAATTTTGTTCCTCTGAAAGGAAAGACAACTTTACGAGACAAATATAGGTATGAAATTACCGTGCTTAGACTGTCTCAACAAGCCAGCCCTGTCTAGGATCCGGCATGCCTCTAAGGCGCAAGCAACCACCGCCTCCTTTTTCTTTCCTCGATGAATGACTTCCGCCATTACAGGCCGTCCGCGTGCGTCGTCAATCGGTAGCTCCACTCTGCAAAAATATGTTTAACTTTAATCTATGGCAACAACCTGACCCGAATGGCGTAGTGGGTAGTGTACCTGCCTCCTGCGCCAGAGGTTGTGGGTTCGATTCCCACTACTGGAAAAATATTGTGTGATGAACATAGTATTTTTCTTGATCATTTGATATTATATAGTTTACATTTATAATGTAAAAAAACTGTCATATCAAATTATGTAACATCCATTTTAATATAATGTTACCTGCAGATAAACTGTCCTACACCTCTTTCTTCACAGTCATAGTTCAACTCATGGCCTTCTCTTTCAAAATATCCTCTAAGGGTCTTCTTTGGGTCAGTAAGGTACAGCTCTTCATTGGCAGTAGACGCATAGGGATTATCAGCAAGATCTGGCTCCTCTTCGGCATCCTCGCCTTGTAAAACAAGTGATTTAGGTAGTGATATATAGAAAATGTTAACATGTTTAAAACATAACATAGGGAGAATAGTGTTCATCTAAATTAAAAATGACAATATTTTTTACTGCTCATTTAGCATTTCTCCAGGAACAAGAGCTTGAAGGAATTTGTAACTTCCATAATCTTCTTACAAACGGCAATGTATGTAAGTGTATCGACACACATTCTTAACTTTTGTTATCCCAGTTTTCATCCATTATAATAATGTTATCATTAAGTGAGCTGCTTTTCCCAGGTCACCTAGTAGGTATAAATATTAATAAAATATTTCACTTATCAAATCATATGGGACTGATTTAATAAAGTACAACTTTAATTGCAAAAAGTTTGCAGGCAGCAAAATTAATACCATTAGCTTTTCAAGAAGTAAGGCAATAATTATTACATAATAATCCCCTGACATGACAGTGTTTGAAAGTAAGGCAAGTTAAGGTATAATAGTTTGGTAAAAAATATTTAATTTCGAAATGGAAAGAAAAACATTGTGTCTGGTTTTACAATAAAGTTATATATTACAAAATTAAATTATTAATTATATAGTGTTTGGGACCATTACTGTTCAGTGTCCGGTTATTTGATTTTCTTACTATAAGCAAGCTATCCAGTGTAACTGCCAGTGTTCAGTAGTGCATTGGTAGTGGTATATGGAATATGGTCAATCCACAATGGGCCTTGATTATCTTGGAGTTAGTTTTTAGTTTTACATCGAGACCAAAAGACTAAATTGACATGTAAAATTTACTCACCCATTCCCCAATCAATGCCTTGTTCTTCTCTCTTCTTTTCTGCCTCCAGTCTTTCTTTTTCTATTGCATCCTTTGCCTCTTGTATCATTTTAACTCTTTCTAATTTCATATTCAATGCTCTTTGTTTTATTTCCGTCACTGACAACTCTGACTCACCCTCACAATCAAAGTCTGGTCCCTGATTGAGTAATGTTAGTGTTAATATAAATTAAAACAGAAAATATGCCATGCATGACAATTCAATAATGTTTGTTACATATTTGAAGGAAGGTGTCATGGAAAAACAATGATTAAAAATAAAGAGTAATTAATTTAAAAATCTTAAAATTGGTTTTTATCTCCTACAAAAACAAACACATTACAAGCATTATGTAAGTCCTTGTGCTGCTTCCAAACTTGATCTGATGACCAACTCTGACCCTGGTATAATGTTTCTCCTTCAAACGTTCACGATTGAGGAATGTGCCGTGAGTGCTGTCAAGGTCATATAGGTACCAGCCAGATTGAGGTTCACCTTCATCAGCAAAAGCTTTATATTGCAAAATGCAATGATGCCTGTTAAAATAGAATAGCAATAAAATATGTATTGAAGGTAGATCCTGGCTTATTTTTAATTATATTGTTGAAATATTAGTAGTGTGGCAAATACTGATAAACTAACCTAGATACAGTTGGGTGTGCCATTACAACGTCACAGTTGGCTAACCTCCCAAAAACGTAAAAAGGCTTTTGAGTTAATTCAATTTTCTCCACAATTAAACCAGATTTTAGTACTTCAAGTGCATACTCTGAACCTATAATAAAACAATATGATTAATAAAATATCATCTGAATGGTCCCATATGTTAATTTGCTCAAGAGATTAATGCCCGGTTTCTGAAACACTGATCATTATAGAAGTCAACTAAACAGCTGTTAAATGGATTTGAATTGATCATTCTCATCATTAAGAACATTATTCTGATCAATTCAGAGAGTTTAACAATCCTTCCTTTTGGCAACTCAAATATCATTTCAAAATACATTTGACAGCTGATTAGATGACTTCTACAATGATCAGAGTCTCAGAAACCTGGCGTAAATATCGTAAAAAGACACAAATTCGATAATTATTACACACCATCGGGACAAATTCCTGACCACTTAGGTTCTTTATATGGTATCGGTGTATAATGCTCTTTTAACAGAACTGCGGGAGGCAAGGAACTTTTGGGGTTGGGTTCTGAAAGATTTTTATTGACCTCGGTCTTATCGTCACATGGTTTTTCCGTTTCTAGTTTTGTTTTTTTAGGGAGTTTGCCAATTCGACCGATAAGAACAGGCTTCTTAAACTCCAACTTTTCAATTTTGGTTTTAGAGTCATCTTCCATTATAGATTTCTTGATATTTATTACCTTGCATAAGTTTAAAAAATATGTAAATTTGTACAAATTTGTTTCTTATAGTTTTTTTAGTATTACTATTTTGTTATTTTAAAAATACTTCATTATGTTAATTTATTTGTTGTCTCTGCTGTTCTCTAGTCATATTGAAAATTTATGATAATTGTAGAAGTGGGCGATACAAATCGTATCAGATATGAAAACTAGATATTAGTACAATATCCGAATATCGCTTACTGGCTCGTTCAATATCTATGTATTTTACAATATCTGATATTTCCGAAATCTGATGTACCGTGCTCGCTCGCTATACCGACACGAATCGCGATATCATACGCGTTTGCCACAATATCTGATTTTTAAACAGATTTCGAGAGACAAAGCGCGTGAGATACAAATACTCACTGGTTAGAGCGGGACGGCAAGCAATGCACGATATCAGATATCGAGCGACAAAGCACGTGAGATATAAATACTCACTAGTTAGAGCGGGACGGCAAGCAATGCACGATATCAGATTTTTAAACAGATTTTGAGCGACAAAGCGCGTGAGATACAAATATTACACTAGTTAGAGCAGTACGGCAAGCAAGGCACAATATCAGATTTTTAAAACACATATTATGAATAAGTTAAGTAATTTTGAATCTTAACACCATGCAAATAATCCGTTTTAATTAAATACTAATCATGGTATCAAAGATTACTACGACGATATTATTATATTTCTATTGTTTTGTTTAGCCTTGAGCCGTAACGGGCGACAAAGCGCGCATTTAAGTAATTTTGAATCTTAACAGCATGGAAAAAAAATTCTCTTGCATTTAAATACGAATTACGGTATTAACGATGTCTTTAAATTTTGTTTAGTCTTGAGCTGGATTGCATTGGTACTAAGCACGTAATAGTAAGGGATGCCAACTTACTACTTAAGAATTTTCTGCCTAAATTAAGGAAGAAAAATATAAATGGAAATTTTTTAGGAGGTAAATTTTTTGTGAATATTTTTATTAGTTAAATTTTATTCATATTTTGGAAAAAAATAAAAGTACACAAAAAGAAAAATATAATTTAATAGTGTTGTGCTGCTTGGGTGGAAATCAGACCAAGGGTTATGTGCTTTGTGTGTATATTTTAAATTCTTCCGCTCTAAGTTATAATACTGAATGTATTATTTCTTACACAAATTATAAAAATTTTGTCACTCATGATTGCGTGTTCTAAAAATATATTTAAGTCTATTATTAAGCGATATATAAGATGTTAAAATAAATCATTTTTATATTACTTCAATTTGTATTTTTTATGAAATTTTTAATTTAATCAGGTAATGTTTTAATTTTACCTTAATAGTATAAAAAAATCGTGATTTTAAAATCAGTAAGTTTTTTGAATTTAGTCAATTTGAGTGAGTTTTCGAATTTATTTAGAAGTATTCTTTTTGAACAGTTGGTATCACTGGTAATAGCTTTTAATGATCGTCGAACAAGACTTTCGACGAATAAAGGCAAACAGCTTACGTTCGTAAACGTTAATTTAAACCCGGAGGAATCTAAATAATTATTAACCCACACATCATTGTAAATAAGTTAAGTTTTAAATATCAGGAAAATTATGTACATAGAATGAATCAACTTTTAAATACTCTTTATTTTTTTATTTTTTTTAGAATTCAAGGTGGATATGGGACCGTAAAATATCTAGATATTAAAGTACATAGTTTCGAAATCTGATATTTGAAATCGATATCTGATTCAGATACGGTACTCAGAAAAAGCGATACGACCCATCTCTAGATAATTGACATTTGACATTTCAAAAGTGATGATTGCCAGTTAAACTTTATATAAAATGCTAACTATTTGTAAGTATAGATTCGTATTTTTTCCGTAAAACGTACATGTATTCGATGAAAAACCATTTATATTATTTTGAATTAAGTGAGAATAAAAGTTTAGATAAGTTGCAATCACAATCCTTACCATTTTTTTTACCTAAATTTATGTTGATTCAAAAAGAATAGCGCGGAACGGAATAAAGTAAGCGAACCGACTGACTCGTTAAATGAATGAAGCAAAGCCCCATATCAATCAATCAATCAATTCAAACGAATTTGCGCCGACAGCTAACCGATTTACAAGTTTGTTACCGTGAATATCATTTCAATCTATAACATGTTTCTTTATTTCGCGAAAAAATAATAATGTGTGTTCAAGATTTATCCGTGCTCAGTGAACAAAGTGAATTCCTGTGACAAAGTGACCATATTGTTTCGCTTCACTTACAAGGTATTTAAACAAAGATTTACCTGTAATTAGAATTGCAGCGTTATCTCAGTCAGTACCTATTATCTTTGGATTAGAGTTTTCTTTATAAACGTTATATTTTCTTTAATTTCTGTCAGGAATAGATTTATACATAACGAAATGTCTGGTATAAAAAAAAATTATAAACATTTTGGGTCATAACAATTTTTCTAGGATGATTGAATCGGTCAATACTTTATAAAGAGAAAGTGCTTTCATGAACAGTTTAATATTACTCACTGAACTTCTTGTTTTCGTCTTAAAAGTGATCCGATTTTGGCATCTACAATATTAAGGCAATAGAAATCTCTTCACGCCTTCAAAATTGATTGAGTAAATAAACTTTTACCTTACATAATTTCATACCTTGGGCAATGTTCTCTTAAAGTGTGAATTTAGAAATTTGATATTTATAAACAATTTCCTAGTTAGTATCAATGTCTTGAGTATTTATTTTACTTTTGAATTAAAGTGTATTCTTTTCAATAGTTTAATTGTGTTTATAATGCACCATATTTAAACTGGTGTTTTTAATACTTATTTTATTGTATAATTTCCATCCCAATAGCATTCTTTCCTTATAATATAATAATTTTATCAGTATCTATCCCTGGCACTGACACTAACTTGTTTGATAAAGCTTTATCTGTTAATTTTTAGATAAAGGAATTGATTAAATTGCTTTTATCATTACACTGTTTATACAGTAAGGTATTTGTAATAAATTAGGTAAACTTGGTAACATTTAATAAATTAATATATATTTATTTCTAAAATAACTGGTGCTTACTTATTTTTTGCATATATAGTTACAGCTTGCAACTTGTTCTGATAAAAACATTAATGATGATCTTGCTCTTTTTTAAATGCCACTTCTCTAACCAACAATTTTTTATATGCATCCTTTTAATCTAACTCCCTTTTGACCTTTTTTCGTTTACATATTCCAATGTATAGCTTCAAGTCATGGCCTTCTCAGTTAAAATCACTCAAAAGTTTAGCTGTTTACAAGTACCTATATTTATAATCTTTTTTTTTTTACTTAAAACTAAATACGTGATTATGTTTTGTACATTGTGATTATGTTACACAAAAAATGTACCATCATACTGGTCATAAAATGTTCCTGAAGTTTTCATGAAAAATAAATGAAGTGAACATGGTTTTTAAAAGATTATGAAACAAACCTGGAATTGTCATATTATAACATGGAACTATACACAATATGAGTGGCATAACCAAAGATGATTGGAAATAACCCTTACTGTGTACTTCCAGCTATTGATAATTATATGAAAATATAGTTTTTTATAGTGTTGGTACAAAAATAGGAGCATATTAAACAACACTACAGACTTTCTTGCAATGTTTTGTCTGAAATAATCTCACTTAGTCTAGTATTACTTTTCAACATTCTATCAAATAAAATTTGATATGAGTTTATTTTTACAAGTATGTATATAAATATTGTATGGTTGTTTGTCTGTCACATACTCTACATATTTCTAACTTCCACAAATTGTTAAAAAATCTTCTTCATCTATTTTTACAACTTGTTTTGTAACATTAACTGACATATAACATATATGTATAACATTATACATAGACATATAGATGCATGTCATTGATAAAATTAATTTTGTTTTGTGTCCAGATGTATCTTATTAACAAATGTCTTACTATATACTTGGGATAACTGACAATTTCAGCCCCTGTTAAGTAATATTATTGAAGATCAATTTGGCCTTAATTATTAAAAAAGTGTTCATAATTAGTTTGGTAGGTTCAGAGCTTAGACTAATGAAAAAGTATAGACAGAACATTGTGCTCATATAGTATGATGACAATTCGTCCATTTAAAGACGGCTGCCAACGGACGACCGAGTCTGCTGCAACTCTTTGAGTGAGCGATAGTGTATTACATATATTTAATAAAATAACAATTGTGAAATTATCTTGTCCTGTGTCATGAACGGCTGCAAAAATAATTAATGTTTTTATAAAAATAGTTCTTTATTTATTATAATTTACTTTTTACTTTAATTTATGTACAATAAATATGTATAATATATAAAAATAATACGATTACCGAAATTGACCGAATTTCAAAGAGGTACTTCATGTTTAATGGTTGGTGTCTTAAGTGGTCAAATAACAAAACTGTTAAGTAAGTTCAAGTTGATCTAATTTATGTCATATACGGCTTCTCCTTTAAGTTGGCCGATGGAAGGTATTGACACCTTTAAAATGGTAAATGTTTGTTCTTTTAATCCTCTTTTCTATTGACCATAGGTTACACATGAAAAATAAGGATAGATTTTATTGGATTGTTAATATTAATCATGAGTGATGCTCTAAACTCTAAACAGATCTAAATTATTAACCGCAAATTAAAATTGAAAATTTCATTTCAATTGCCAAATAGATATTCAATTAATAAAAAATAAAAGTGTAATATTAAAAGGTTTTTAATATTATTATTATCTATTTCAACCAGGAAATGAAATACCATTGCATAATTATGATGCTATTTTTATAGGTATTCTGAGTTTACCTTGCTTGTATACTAAATAAATGCAGATTTTTTTAATTAGGTTAAAATCAACTTTGGTTCAGAGAAAATATTGAAACTGAAACTACCACCCGGGTCGTAAGCGCCAGAAAACAAATACGGTAGTGTAT